TACAAAATTAGTTTAGATTAGCCTTGATACCCCCTAAATCCTTGTGTAAAATTTTCGTATTCTTCTTTAGGCTGAGATTCTGAAACGGGAGGCTACTCCTGCCATGAGACTGCTCAATGATCTTTTGAATATGCATGATGGCTTTGACGGTGAAGGGTGGCTGAAGGAATGCAAAAAGCGCATGATTGAAACTTTCCCCCGGGAGGATCCCTTTAGCATTCTTGTTCCAGCAGGATTTGACATCGATAAGGTATGTTGGGAATATGCAGATTGAGATTTATGTTGGAAGTCATGATTTGTAACTATTTATAAGTCAAGTTTATCCTTTCTGACTTCTTAATTCGGTCATATTTCTTCTCGATCAGCATGAAGGACCACTCCGGCTACCAGTTGAAGCTGATGATGCTCTTCTGAGGGTAGACTTTGTCAGGGAGGTCAATGCATTGCTACAAGAGATTCGGGCGGAGCAAATTGAGGTACAAAATGCACAAGGGCTTGATCCTGAAGCCATTGCAAGTAGGTTGAAGCAGCAGGAAAAGCAGCGTGCCATACGCTTGGTAGAATCGATACTAGACCTGGCCATTAATTTGCAGTGGTAGCAAAATTGTGTTCCTTGTTTTTTGTAGTTTTTGTAGCCTTTTCTTTTTCCTTGCTAAAGGAGTAAAGGGTTTCTCTTTAACTTCAAAAGACCAAAGATTGGACACATGAACGGAAGACCTACAAATACTCCGGTTAAAAAGTGTGACTTTGAGACGGAGGGTCAGGGCATAATGGGTAGAGAAAGAGTAGGAAGACTCGAAAAGAGACTAAGAACAGATATAAAGTACTTAGAGCTAACAGAAGACTTGGCGCAAAACGTTCTAGGATTTATACAGTCGACCCCATTTAGTGAGATAAAGTTTGGTGGTGGTTGTTTTCAAAAGATCAAAGATTATTCAATAAAAATTACTTTATTGCTTTAAACAAAAATTTACATGGAATTTACAGCAGTGACTTATGTGCTACTTTACTGCACTGCAATGTCTTATTGTCCAAGTATCCTATTAAAAGTTAACCAACAAAGTAATTATATGGATTAACTAATAAAGCTACAAGCATCTGGCTTCAAACAGAGCACAACTGTGAGACTTCATTTGGTACGCAAACAAACCCGCCATTTGTTCCGGAACTGGCTCGCCGTCGGTTGAGAAAAAACCTGGAAATGGAAGAGCCGTGTCGACCAAACGGAACCATCCCATACCTTCCGGAGGCGGAGGCAGAATGACAGTCTCTGAACGAGCTGCTGCACTGAAGGCAACAAACAAGTCACCCCATATAGGGGGAGAAACATCTCCTGGTTCGGTCGCTTCCTCTTCGTCTGGTTTCAGCTTCATGGCAAGGAATTTGCAGGACGGATCTTCCCATTTTGGAGAAGATTGATCACTCCCGTACCAGTCTATGTTTTCTTCTTTCAAGAAGTTCCTCTCCTGAAGTAGGTCGCTCCGCCTTATCCTAAACGAACTTAAAAACGCAATGAATTGTGTGGTTTGAGTAGCAAAACCTGTTCCCAGTGCGTTCCAATCGAAAGCTTTTCTGTCACTGTATGCAGGGGAACCGCCTGTAGATTGTCCACACTCATCTCCCATGTTAAGAACAGGAACGCCGAGTGAAACAAACAAGATAAAGAGAAAATTACGAATTTGTTTAAGTCGCCTTTCAAGTACAGCAGTTTTATCTGTAGGCCCTTCTTCCCCGCAATTCCAACTCAGCTCTGAAGCTAACTTAACACCACTGAAACTAACAAGGTCCACGAGAGGAAGTCCGGAATTCCGGGAAATAAAGTTGAAAGCGAATGCTGGCCCTCGTCCATCCGAGAAGATGTCCCCGTTCCCACAGAGCCGTGTAGCAAGGTCACTAAGAAGGCCCTCACCCCTCAAAAAGTTCCTCACATCTTTAGAGAATTTCGAATTCACTTCTGCCCATCTCTTCCAATGAGGAAAGCGAGTTTCTTTTGGTACCGAGCCATGAGGATCCCAGCGGTCTGCAATGATCTTGGTCTTCGAGAGTAGCGGATCAAAAGCAATTGCTTCGACCAAAGGTGGGCGAGATAAGTATTCACCTTTAGACCCTCGCATCAGAGATGATGCATTTATAAAACAAAAGCCATCAACGTGAAACTCAGTCACCCAGTATCGAAGACTATCCAATACCATTTGTTGCACAACAGGATAGTTACAATTCAAAGCATTTCTGGCTTTCAAATCCGCAACCCCGTTTATGTGATAATAAGATGAGATATCGATTCCTTGCAGAGCTTCACCCTCAGCGGTATGGGTGAAAACAACTTCCAGTAGGACCTCTATTCCGTCGGCATGAAATTTTTTCACCATGTCTTTCATAGAATTGACAGCTGATACAGGCCCTCTAGAAGGTCCAAACCAATTCATAGGTGAAAAGAAATGGATAGGGAAATATGGACCCTTTTGCTCGTCAAATGGGAAAATAGGCTCTAATAAAACTGCATTCACACCCAGGTGTTTTAAATGCTCCAACTTCTCTGTCAAACCCGAAAAAGTGCCTGCTATATTGGTTGGTAGATTACTAGACTTATGCTCTGTAAAACGTGTCACGTTCAACCGATAAACCACAAGTTTTTCCATTGCTAAGTCAGGTCGAACGTCACCAGCCCAGTTGAAAGCAGGTTCCTCACATAGCCTTCCAAGATACTTCAACCCTGTCCCATGAGGAACAGATCTCGAAATGATCTTAGCGTATGGATCCAGCAAGACATTCCCTTCATCAAATCTATAACCATAGCTCACAAAATCCCATCCACTTTCAAATGACGCATGCCAGATGTCACCTGATCGATTAACATATGGATCTAGATCGAGCTCCAACACAGGTTTTTCAGCTGTGGTCTCACCATACAAGCATAAAACTACACTTTCTGCATTTCTTGAAAAGATGGCAAAGTTCATGGAACCATCATTAGAAAAAGAGAGACCCAATGGAGCGGGATAGCCTCGACCAAAACCAACCGGGAAACAGAAATTTGTCTTCCTATGACTTCTTATGTCCAAGTCACTCGAATCAGCATCTGCGGGGGATTTCAAAATAAACGAGAGGTAGAAGGGGATTTGTTTAGCCTCAAACTCCAATTCGAGAGTAAACCTGCCGGAACAAGTCTCAGTGAATGGAGTTTCAAGGGTGGTGGTTCTGTCAGCTGGGGTCGAACTTCTGAAATTCGAAGGCATGAAACTAGATGAATCAGATCTATAAATTCCCCAACTCAGTACCAGTAATCTATCATTACTAGACAGGTGCAACGATGAAACTTCAATATTCACAATGCATTTGGCATTCTTCATTCTAACAAAAACTTTTACCATATCCCCAGTTTCTGTTCTAAATCGATAAGTTGATACCTTGCCTGCTTCTTCAGTTTCAGTACTGGTGTAGACTCTTTGCTCCATTGGCTCAACAGAAACTCGGGATGTAGCATACACTTTCAAGTCACGGTCCCTTAGAGGCGTTTCCTTGAAGTTCTGCACAACTTCTCCGAAAACTAGATTTCTCTCTATACCCAGTTTTACAGAACCACGCAGACCATTGTGCCTGTGTCTATAACGATTTGCAGCAGTCAGCTTAGACAATTCAGTGGTTCCACAATTCAAACAACAGGAGGCCTGCATGGCGATTGACAGCGGAAGAGTTGCCATCCTAGAGCGCAAACACGAAGGTCTCCTACTCAAATGTCCAGAGGCATTCTGTTCAAGAGAAAGCAAATTAATTTTCGTTAAAAACAAACAAATTTTCCACATCTCCCTAATATATTTGGATCCTAGAAAATCATCATCTCATGAACAAACTTCTTCAATCACCGGCATTCGATAAAGAAGCATATAATTTCCAAATTTTTCATGCTGCAACATACAATTGCAATGACAACACAGATACACATCATAAACCCATCAAATCAAAGAAAGAACAGGATCCATGGGAGTTGTCACAAATGATCAAAAACTATATGAATCAAGAAAATAAGTTGAACCCAGTTTCAAATCTGAGAAAATCTAAGATGGGTTGCTCATAATTCGAGTATAAACAACAACAAAAATCCAGATGGGTTGTTCATAATTCAAGTTTAAAAACTAAAATTGATAAAAAAAAAAAATCAAATGCATCAGCAGGTAAGCAACTAGACAGAAGATCATAAGCATTAACAAAATGAGAGATTTGGTGACAACAAAGAGGGAGATACGAACTTACATCATTGGACCTGCTCAGTTAGAATCAGACTAATGCAGAAACAGCAGGAGAGAGAGAGAGAGAGAGAGAGAGAGAGAGAGAGAGAAAGAGAAGCAGAGAGTTGTTGGGATTTCGTTCTCTGAAAAGTTGTCAGGATTTTATGTGCCGCACAACGCAGCAAAGATGATCGAGATCGAGATGGGTGAGAGTGACTTGAACTGTTCTTACGAAAATGCTCGACCGTCCGATTTTGCTAAACTTCAAACTTTGTTATGATTAATAATATTTTTAAGGGGTTTTAATCACAAATGGTCCATAAATTGAACGACTCGATAGTTCCCGTAATTGAACATCGATGAATGTAGTCAAATTACTATGGTCATTCTGTCACAATTTTGTCAAAAATTCTGTTTTGTGTTGACGTGTCACACAACTTGTCTTACAAATTTTATTGATTATAAAAAAATGAGTGTTCATTATCTTATTTCCATCCCACCCGAGCAACACCCTGTATAGTCAATATTTTCACAAATTTGTATATCAATAGTTTCAACGATAATTATATTTTAAGCACAGATCTCACCCCATCTGGTCGCCTGTATGAGAAAAGAAAATTCTAAAACGGCTCCTCTCTCGAATATAATATTATCAGAAGAAAAATTATGGGGTCTCAAACTAGAGTCCAAGAATACGTACTAAACCAGCAAGCCCGATTAGTTTAATGAGTAATTATGAAAGCAAATGTTAACCACAATAATAATTTAATGTGAATTGAAACTTTTATGTATACGCTCGGTTACATTTAAGAATTTCTTCCATATCACACGGTGAATTGCTGGTAAATAAAAAATAATCATGTTTAAACATACAGATTAGGCTCCATTGCTACATTGACTTTCTAATATGTCTGCAATCTCCCCCTATTATCCACAGAATGAACACTATAAAGTCCATGATCCTCGTGCATTTACAAGAGAGAAGGGCTTTGAACCTAAAAGATGTGTCTGCCGGAAAGAAAAACTAACTGCGAATTTCAGGACCGGCATCGGACTCGTGTTTACTTCCCATTTGAGACGTTCTCTTTGTAACAACAAGAGGACTGCTCTCCTCCTCGTCAACGTCTACTTCGTGATTCTGCATCTGCCCTCCCTTGAAAACGGGATGCACGTAAGCGTCCTTCAGATAGTTCAACAGATTCAGGTTTGGTTCCGTTGCACGCTCGACCGTATCCTTCACCATTGCCTCCTGTTTGTTGCCAAACCAAGCACATTGAGAATATGGTATTGCTAAGAATACGGTATAGTAACGGCATTCAGAATGCGAGAGCCGCACATTTTTATGACTCCGTGTGTGTTAGTAAACGCATGAGAACTCAAGAAATGTGCCGTTATGGTAATGGCATTCTATACATAACTAACAAAACTTTGTACCGGGAACTTCAACCTAATTACCTGTAGTGGGAATTTTAGGAATGCTGATTCGAATCGCCCCTTGCAGACTCTATGGAACCAGAGTGTCAAAATAGGTTGCGGGATGAGAATGAATGTTGATTTCGCAACGCCTAATGTGCTAAACAACCCCATTAGTAGAACTTGTGCTATGATTAGACCGATAATTACACGAAGATGCACCTGTGGCCAGAAGGCCGCGCCACTCTCATATTTCTGGTCATAGACATTAATAATCTGGCAGCAAAAAGGAACCATTAGAGCCACCTAACAATGAGCTAATCTGCATTTACTAATGGCATAATGCTGGTATTAGATAGCATACCTGATGACGATAAACCACGTAGGCGAAAGCGAAGAATATGAGAATGAAAGGAAGTAGTATAGGTGTGACAACAGAATAAACAAGACCCAGCAGAAAATATAATTGTGTCCTAGGTTCGTTTGTAGCGAAATTCAAGGAACCGGGATCAGTTGCCTGCTCCCGATCTTGTTCTGTCTTAACCAGAAATGTGTTCTTGAGGTGAAACAAAATTAACGGCACCAATCTGAGGATTTCTGCAGCGATTCCACTCCAACCATCAACCATGACATAAGTGATGAAGAATGTACCTTTCATTGGGATGGACCTCCCAACAGTTTTTGTGAACCTGCAAAAGCAATCGTACATTTCCTGTCATATTATCCCATCATTGATTAAGAAAGTTTGAAAATTTCAAGTCTGTACACACAAATGCCAATGCCAACATTACTACTAAGTTGTGGAAAATTATGACATTACTCGGTTGAGGGCTCGTTCATAAGTTTCTCAAGCTGCTGAAGTGCCGTTCCAGTAACAATGCTTCCTAGGAACACATTGATAAGTATGAACAAATGATACTTCGCTGCAGATCTCCTATCCAGATGTGAGAGTGATGTTAAGCCCTCAATCTTTGACATAAGCATAAGAATCATGGGAAGTATAGCGAGAAATATCTTCAATGCAATTCCTGGAAGAAACCCTTGGACAACAGACTTGACAGAACTTCTGCAAGAGAAAAACAAACGAAAAGAAGGGATAGGATTTAAAACCTTTTTGTATTAGTTAAAACCACATACAAGAAATCAATACTAATAGAATGAAACAGGGACACACATCTGAAGTAGTGGCTTCAAGAAAGGAAGGGCCTTCTGAATCCCCTCGATGTTAGCTAAAGATTGGACGAACGCAATTGGAATCATGAAGAAGAAAGTAAGGAAGAAAAAGGCAACACCCATGAGCAATTTTCGCACGTTGAGTTCAACGTATGGAATTGCAAGGTTATTCCAATAGATGTCGCGTGGCTCAGGAGCCCACTCCGTCAACCAGATGGTAGGATTACGTGACTGCTGAGTTTGAGCACACACAGCTGCTCCCCATCGCGTTTTGAATGAAACAAATGCTGCAGGCATTATGGCATCAGGATCACTTATAACCTTTTCTCGTTCTTGCTTTTCCTGCATGAAATCTACATTATTATGCATCTAGAACGCACGAACGAAACAAACACAGACTGTCCAACATATCATTGTGTGACAAGAAAGAAAACATGCTCCTTAAAAATACTCACTTCTTCGACCAATTTCTTGATCGTATCATTGTAGTAATCAATCGCGTCGACTCTATCTCCCCATAGGCCCAAGAAACCTGTCTAATGGGATATGAGATGACGAACTCAACGGAATCAAAACATTAACAAATGACTCTCACAAGAACATAAAAATCAAGTTACGCAAAGAAAGAAACCTTTGTAGTAGGCTTTGTCTTGGGATTTCTCTCAAACTTGTTTTGGTAGTACACAAGCCAATTTTTCGTACTCTTCTTCTTGTCGACCACCTGTGCAAGTTTATTTGCATTGTATACAACCTACAAGCATTTAAAGTAACACAATTGATTTCAATGTCGGTTTATAGTTTAATATATGTTCTTTAAATTTGTTTTTCAGTAGTATATATATGCTGATTCCTTCGCAGATCAAACTAGTAAAACTAACCAAGTTCAGCAACTCGCTTACTTGATGCGTAAGATAGTGACCGGGATGGTTTACACAGAAGAAATGTTCGATATGCTCACTGACTGATTCATCAGGATCTGGGGGTACATTCCTCACAAGAACCTGTTAGGGACGTAGAGTTAACGTAAACAATTACAAACTAAAAAACTAACCCAGCTATGAGTAAACAGATTCCTCAAAGTATAAAAACAGATAACTGAAAAAACTAAACAGACCACCATGGGGATGCCTCACCGTGAACTGATCAGGACGACGCTTTTCAGATGCTAAAAATTGAAGCCGTTTAGTAGCCACTGTCTTGTACTCATGGTATAAAACAAAGCATGTCCAAAAGGTAAATACATAAGACATCACGAGATGTGCGAAAAACCTATAAGACCGAAAACAAAAGAGAACTCAGATTTGGATTGTATAAAAGTAATGAACTTTTGAGGGCAGAAAAACTATGGTAGCACTAAGTATTAAGATCATCTCTTGTCACTCCTGTCTACGATACAAAAAAAACTTGGGTCTGAGACCACGACGTCTGTAGGGTACCTCTCACAAAGAAGAAGAAAACATGGGGAAATGGAAATGGAGATGAAAAACTTACTTGGGAGATCCAGAAGGAATATTGGATATTGAGAGTTTATCAATGTCGCTGAATACTACTTCACGGCTCCTTTCCAGCGTATTGCTCATATAATTGACAGGCACCAAAACACCAAGCGCAAGCGCGGTTATGGGGACGAATATCTTCAAGCTGTGTGAAATGAGTATCATTAAGTCATTTACTGAGTTAATTAGCAAGAGTTTCGAAAACATGTAACATGTTATGTGCACTCCGAGTGTTTTAACACGATGTGTTCTGAACGAACTAGCTCTTACTCTAGCGGTACCTCTCTTAACAGTTGGAAGAGGTCTAACTTCAAAATAATAGGCGATTTTCCTCTCACGACACGTTGAATTTCAAATGGGATTCGGTAATTCTATGACATACAACGAACTAAAGAGAGCTAATTGCAAAATACACCTTAGGTTCGAGGTCAATTTCAAGGGATATGCCATTGCAGTTTCCTTACATTACTAAGGGCTCGTTTGGATGTGCTTTTAAAATGAATGAAAGCGCTTTTAGAAAAAATATTTTTGGGTTTCAAAAGCACTTTAAGTGCTTTTTGCAAGAAACACCAGTTATGCGCTTCTTTCAAGAAGCACTTTTTCAGGATTTACTTGCATATTTACTAATGATTGATTCTACAAATATTTTCACCAAAAACGCTTTCAGTCATTTCAAAACACACATTCAAATGAGCTCTAATTATTTGAACCGTCAACAATTCAAACCTCTTGTGTCTAGACATCTTCCCCTCCGTACAATTTCTCACATTACGACCTTAAAGTATTAAACTGTTGAGTAATTAGAACGGCGTCGTATCTAACCATCTAGGCCTCCATGCACGTCTACATAACAGGTGCCTCATACCAACTCTTTTTGTCTCGTTCAATTTCGGTCAGACACAAAAATGATTTGAATCGTTAATACTTTAGTGACCCTACAAAATTGACATTTTGGGTCCCTCTTTGAAAGTGACCCCAAATCTCAAAGACGTATATCGTAATTAGCTCAAAAAATTTAAATTTGCAAAAGCATGAAGGAAGTTGGCTACCCGAGCACATAAATCCGAATGTAAGCGGCGGAATCAAGGCCGGCGTGATCAATGAGCTCCGGTTCGGGCATCCGCAGCGCGGCAGGCATCCAATTGAGGAACTTGAAGTAGGTTTTGGCGTCCAGATTGACGAATTTCCTGACGGTGGCGCCGGAGCTCGTGGGGCTTCCCCTCATCCCCTTGAGGTACCATTTCGGAAAGTAGACTCTGTCGTTGAACGGCTGCAGCCGCAGCAGACCAAACGCCACCAGAAATCCGAATGCAGACAGAATGTTGATGGCTGCTGACATCATAATATCTTGAAAATTCGCCATTTTTATGAATTATTTGACACAGCGGAAGTTACAGGTTAAGGGATCACGAACGAACGGCCTTTCTAGTCAGAAAGACGAAAGCTTTTCGGATTCCGTGACGGCGACGGTGGTTGGTGGTGAGATTACGGGTGGAGACTCGAAATTTGGGCTGAGAATTGTGAAATTTTGGGATTTTTTGGGTGGAAATGTTTGGAAATGGGTGGCAGAAGAGAGAGAGAGCGGTTGGATGGCGCCAACAAGCTCGGAGGCGTGTTTGGCCTCGCTGGACTCACGCTTCTGAACGTTGGCAGGGGATATTTGAATTTGTTCTTTGACCGATCTACCCTTCAATTACTTTACATTCTTTTTTTCTTTTTTTGGAAAATATATGATTTCTTAAAAACAAAATTAAAAAAATGAAGAAAATGATTTTTATACGCTTATTTTTCTTTTCTGCGCATACTCTTGTTCACTTGCGTTTATTCTTTTCTCATTTATTCAAATATAGGTGACAAAATAGTCACCAATAGCTGTGAGAAAATACCCATATATTCTCTCCTCTCCCTCCTTCTCTTTGTTCTTGTTCTTCTTACTTCGTTTCCTCATTAACTTAGAATTATAGTAAAGTTGTACTTTTTTTCTTTCGGTATGATTTTTTTTTCTACTGGGTTTTTCCAAGCAATGTTTTAACGAGGTAACTGATATTGATATGTGGGTATCCAAGGGGGAGTGTTGTAATCAGTGAGAATATTTGCTCACATGTATACAGTAAATATTCATATGCTAAATAGTGAAGTTTTTGTAAATTTTCATGGTAGTTGCTTTATAAATAGAGCAAATAGAGCACTACTAGTGCTCAAAACATACAATACAAAAGCAATAAGAAAAGAAAGACAAGTCATAATATTTTTTGCATTCTCCAATTTCTCTTTTTCCTGCAATCTTTCTATAGTTAATAAACAAAACAGTGTGATATATTACATCTGATTCGCTCTCGCTCTTAACAAATGTTATTTATCTAATTTTTGCTTATTTATAACAATTTAGTTTTTTTCATCAAAATAAAATTATGAGCAGTAATACAATTTCACACAATCTAATTTTGCTATTTCTTTTAACCACTAGCTGATGACCCAATGATAAATGACAGATTAATAGGCTTCCTTAAAACTAAAAACTGGAGGTTTCGTGTTCGAAACTCGCTGCTGGTGTGGAAGCTACACTTGTGACTGGGAGGAGGCTGAAATGTCTTTGTGAGTCTTCCCAGCCTCTGGAAGAGGTCGATAACCGTAACTTACCACCAGTTGTCCCCATTTTTAAAAAGAAAAAAAATAATTTTGCTGTTTCTTTTCTCAAACCTCACACATATGTCATCATAAAGAAAAAAAATAATTTTTTTTAATATCTACACACATAATGCGTGGGCTTCATCGTAAAATAAAAATAGAATACTTGTTTTAAAGAAAAATATGTATTGGGCCTTCTATGCATACATATTCGGGTCGGCCCATTTCCAACAGAACACTTGGAAGCATGGCCTGCTGGATTTCGGATATCGGATATGACTGAACTGATTTGTCAGTCGGTGGGTCACGTGTTATTCGCACGTCAGTGCCCTTGCGATACCCGAAATCTTATACCCCCAGCGTACGTTAGCACACTCCACCACTAGGCCCAAAACAAAACTTACACTACGCACCCCATGCGCACGTTAGTCACCCCTTCGCCTAACCAACTCATCATCTCTCTGTTTGCCCTTCTTCCACATAAAAACTCTTTTCTTCTATCATACTGTTTCTCTCTCCTCCCCCTCCCTCCCTCCCCGACCCTCTCTCTCTCTAGAATTAGGGTTTCGACTGAGTCACTCCCTCTATCTCTCTGTTGCCGATCGATCTTCGTGCTTCAATGCCTGCGAATCTCCGCCGGAGATTTTCCGCGAAGTGCCAGATTGTTCAATTCGTTGGGCGCTTGCGGCACGCCGCCGTCCCGGAGTTCGTCGTGTGTTCATTTCAGTTCAAATAGCGGTTTCCCGATTAGATTGGAGCGGCGTGCGGTAGTTCTTCAATGGCGCCCAGCCGGAGGAAAGGAGCTAGCAAGGCCGCTCAGGCCGCCGCTGCTCGCCGCCAATGGAAGGTCGGCGATCTTGTTCTTGCTAAAGTCAAAGGCTTCCCTGCTTGGCCGGCTACCGTAAGTCTTTTTCCAAAAAAATTGAACTATTTCTCGCTTTATTTATGCCATATGCCGAGGTAAGGCGACTACCCAGTAGAGGAATATGCTCTGGTTAGCGTTTTTGTGCTTTTTGCAAGCTTAGTTAGTTTGATACTGTGTTGAATACTTCTTGGATGGGTGGTTTTCTTTCTGGATCTGAAAATTTCAGTTTCAATTTCTATGTTTAATTTCATTGAGTAAATATTTCGGTTTGGCAATTCTATTGTTTGGGATTTTGTTATTTTTCTTTATTTTTGGTATTCGGAGTTGGAAGCTCCCTTCATCCTATATATATAATTGTGATTCTTCTGCACAGTGGCTATGAAAGTGTAGCCTTTGCATTGGTTTTGATTCTTCGCATGCTTTGGTCACCGGACTTGCTTTCCGTGAATCCAAATGGGAATGCAGAAAATGGTGTCTGTGTTTATGTTCAGTGCGAATGCTTATCAATTTAGTTTCTGATTGCAGGTAAGTGAACCGGAGAAGTGGGGCTACTCTGCTGATTGGAAGAAAGTACTAGTCTTCTTCTTTGGAACCCAACAGATGTAAGTCCTTAATGCTTTCTTGATTAACTTTAACTAACATCAATGGTGGTGGTTTCCACTGTTGTGCAAGTCTATAATTGATTGGTTATGACTTTCCTTTCAGATCAGACTTACTGATGGAAGTTAACTTTGTACTTTATGATAATATGATGTCATGTTGTTTGAGTAAGGTATGATTACTATGTTTGTACTGTGTTTTTAAGAATGAAGCTGATTACATCGTTCTTGTCTTTTAAAATTGGTACTTGGTATCCTAACTTGTGTTGCTAGACTAGACTGTATATATGTATTTGGTGAATTTAAAATCACTACCACTGTTATTGTGCCTGTCCTTCATTTTGGTCCTCCTTGTTTAATTAGTAGTACGTGAAGATGGTGTACTAGACTCTAGTTGTGGAAATTTTTCTGTAGACTGCCTCTGACTGAAAAGCGATGGCACTAGAAAATGGTGTGTAATAACAGCCAAAACCTGTTCGTTACTTGGGATTTATTGTTATTAGTTATGGACCTTATCCTATTCCATTAAGTCAGGATAAAACATGGTCATTTGGATAGGTACAGTGACAAGGTCAATAAGTAACTTTTAATTCGTCATTCCTTTGAATGCACCAACAATGTTCTGCAAAAGATGAGAGTATAATTAATTATTTAATTAAGCTGACGCATTATAGTAAAGTGGTTTAGTTGATTCGAATTTTTTCTCTTACTTTCTTTAGCATGTAGTTTCTCTCTCTTGTTTTCAGTTGGTTTATTTAATTGGTTTCATATCATAATTAAACCTTAAAATAAGAATTATTTAACATATATCGATAGAAATGGGATGGATTTAGTGGTTGGTTTAATTCACGATCTGAGGTTTTATTGTTATGCCAAAATTCAAAGATGGGTTGCTTATACTGGTTTAGTCACCCGTAAGTTGAAGAGTTTCTGAATCTTACTAGTCTCTTTGTCTTTTATACCCTATGTCTAATGATACAAATAGTTGGTAAAACTTGCAAATATTGGACTAAAATGAGAAAGTTTCATATTCACCCTCCAAGGATAGAAACCTTTACTCAATAGTCCCACATTGGGGAAAACAAAGCTTTTGGAGGACTATTGTTTACTGATATTGTGGGTTACGGTATATCTTGTCAGTTTTGAGTAGCATAGTTTGAGGCCGTGAGTTGAATTCTAGATTTGATTGTGATATTTTATTGGATGGACTCCAGTATATGTTGCATCTACTGTTTTGATACATGTAAATACTGTGTAATCTACTTTCCTGGATTTAGTTCTCCCACTGAGAATATTTCATTCTGTTTCCTATTTTTCCACAAATGTAGAAATATGCATGTAGAATTGGCTGAATAGCAGTTACAATGACCACACTTGAAATTGCTGTCCACACCTTTGAATTATGCTTGGAAAAATCTGCCTTTGAAATAAAAATAACATAACAAATCTGCTAGTAATTATTACATTATGATGGTAATAGGGCAAGATGTTTTCCATAATGAATGCTTGTTAGTTTCTGATTGGTTTTTAAATCTGTAGTAAATTTTATTGTTTGGCACTGAATGATGTAAGGTGGGTGTGATTTTCTGTACCCATTGTTAGAGCGATAAGTGAGGATTTGTTTGGGACCTTACTGTTTTTTTTTCTCTCCTTGCTTTGAGGTGAAGCTTTTGAAAGGAGGAAGAATTTCTATTTTAATTTATATCATATATAGGGTAATGTTCTCTTGTCAAATATCCTATGTTGCAAGACTTTTAATCTGAACTGCACAATCAAGTAACAACCTGATCGGTCCCTGTTGACAATCTAGCAGCAAACATGCTGGACATTCTGGAAAGACGATATTTCCCTATATATATGTTTATAGGCATTTAACTTGGGTGGGTTGAGCTACGGGAGATGTTAGTGATGAATGCTGTTCCTTTTGGGTAAGACTGGAATGTAATATACTCTATCCAGGGTTCACTCTTGGACTTCTGGTAATAAATTGTAAAGCATGTTTGATACCGGGTGTATTTGTTCCTATCTTAATTGTGTCGTAACATGCAAGACTTGTGTAAATATGTTTCCATAGCCTTTGATGATGAAGGATGAGTTAATTTATCTACTTGTTGCATATAATTATATTTGATACACTAGGATAGTATCTCTTCTTTCCCTTTACTTGTATTGTTCATGTGGATGTACACAGGAGTATCCTTGCATTTATGTGCGTGTGTGCATTTTTTTTCATCCCAGAGGGCTTTGTGAATTGTGGGTGAATGATTGTAAGCTCAGATTCTGGCCTTTAAAGTTGTGGATCCTGAGAACTCCATATGCTCTGGTTACATACAAAAGGGAATACCGGTAAAGATTATGGGAATGATGGAAATTATCTTAAAAACATGGAAATTGTGAGGCTTAATAAATGCTAAATCAATCAATAATGAAATATGAATATCATAAACTAGTACATTCTTGGTTAATATAAGGTTGCTCACCAATATATATCAATATATGTTGCATCACATGCCCTTTTGATTGTGTTGATGTTGACCTAACTAATCCAACTGATTCTGTATCTGTGCACTATGAGTCTGATTTGGTATTAGCTTGCTGTTTGTCTTATTCTATTGAGTGTTTTTGTTATGCAGAGCGTTCTGCCACCCTGCAGACGTCGAGGCATTTACCGATGAGAAGAAACAGTCTCTTCTGGGCAAGCGTCACGGAGCTGATTTTGTTCGTGCAGTCCAAGAGATTATTGATATTTATGATAAAATGAAGAAAGCGGACCAAGTTGATGACTTCAAATCCACTGCAAATGGAAGGAACACAGTGGACTCTTTGTCGAACTTGTGTGCAAAGGATCAGTCAGAAGCTCCTGAAGCAATTCTGGATTCACATTCTAAATCTTCACAGTCAACAAATAGAAATGAGCCAAGTGTTTCTGTACAGGACGCTTCAGCAACTGAACAAGTAGATGCTATGCACGATAAGGAAGCCTTAATCAAGGAACCTGCTGCAACAGCAATGGTTACTGAAACACCTCTTCCAGTGACCTACTCTTCAAGAAAGAGATCAAGAGACTTGCGATCACGGAGTTGTGTCTCACTGAAAAAGGAAGCACCAGCTCGTAGGTCAAGACATTCATCCAGGATGGAATCACGTAGAGTACGCAACTCAAGAATGTCATGTGATGATGATGACAAGAATGCTGGGGAAGTATCTGGTAACGTAGTTCGGGATAGATGTCTAAGAAGGAATAAACGAATACGGAAATCACCTGATGCCTCTGAGTGTGATGATGTGAATTCAGCTGCTTTTGTTTCAAATGGTTGTATTGAATATAATGGTTCTGAAGTTGTGACAGTTGATTCTGACACATTTAGTCTAAATGAAGGCAGTGCTATTGATTCTGGTTGTAAAGGTGAACACTCAGAGGCTGTTGCCAAATTCTTGGATGGCGATGCTGAGTTGGTCAAAGCACTTGATCTCCAAATAAAGGCAGTTGTTATCAAGAAGAAAAGGAAGCCAAACAGAAAACGAATTTCTAATGATGCAGCTGACCCTATTGCTATGGTGGACAAGGAAACAATTTTGGAGGTAAAACAAAGTAGTAATCAAACTATGCAGAATGATTGTGGGAAGATGAATGGAAATTCCTCCAAGGAAGATGGAGATGAGCACCTACCATTAGTGAAACGAGCCAGGGTGCGAATGGGCAAACCATGTTCTGCTCACGAGGAAGTAGATAGCTTTGCACACACTGAAGAAAGTCAGAAGGAAGTTGTACTCAATCCACTGGGGCCAGTCAGCACATCATCAAATTGTGAGGAAAATTGTCCTTCTGATAGGGACTTATCTGTGGTAAATGAAGTTTTGGATAATATTTCACCTTCCGGAGGTTGCACTCACATTTTGGGAAACGAACCTCAGCTATGGAACACCAAGAAAGACCAATCATTTAGTTGCTCAGTTGATGGCGAAGCTGTTTTACCTCCATCTAAGCGTCTTCATCGCGCTCTAGAAGCCATGTCAGCTAATGTTGCTGAAGATGATAGATGTAATTATGAATCTTCAGTTGCCAAGACGTCTACTGTTGGTTGTCATCTTTCTTTCACAAGTACATGCCCTGCTATTACTGTAGAAAGTAATACAGGGACTGGATTGGTACTGCAGAGTGAAGACTCTTTGGGCAATAAAGCTTCAGGGGTTGATGCTTCTGGATTCTCTACCAGTTTAAATCCTGTAGTCTTGGAGGAAAATGCTAAATCGGTTGTGGAAGTGGTTGCTGATAAAAAAAATGAGAGTCCGAACACCCAAAATCATGAATGTTCTATTGATGAATCACCAGATTTTGGATACCATGTTGCTGGTAAAGATCTTGGTGGTGGTGCTTCTGGTTGTCACATTATGGGAAGTCCAGGGCATTTATCGCCTAATATGGACAGAGGAGAGGCTGGTATTCGGCATATTGAAAGTTCAATTGATGAGTTGCCTACGAAGGACAAAAGCAAAGACAAAGATGAATTGAGCCACTGTGAAGCAGAAAATCCTGATATTGAATGTGATACTTCGGAGCATACTTTGAAGAGCATAAATCCTCCTGTATCAGGCACCATCCATGATATTTCTGAAGTTTCACCTTTCAACGAGGCTAGTCCACTTCATTATGGTGGAGAGGGCTGCAGTGAGAAAGTTGAGGCTTTGGAACCCCGTGTTCAAGATGCTAGAGAAATCAATGACATGTAAGCTTTTGTTCAGTAGTATAGTTTTGCCATAGAATTTGATAGTTCATTGTTTCTTGTTCATATTTCACGAGTCCCCTCCACCTTTTCCTATTTTGTAAGTTAATGCCTTGTTTCTAAATTTGTATATTCTTTTTTTTTCCTTCCATTATTATAGAGGTGTTTTGGTACTGATTTTTGCACTCAGTGTCTTTACCTGATGGACTTTTAGGCAAGTACTTTTCTTAATCTCTATTGCTCTGTATTTCTTTGTCTTAGGTTTGATGTGGTGAAAGAGGTTGAAAATAAAAAAACAGGGAATGATCCAAGTTCAATTTCCTATCCAAATGAATACTTGGGTGAAAAAAATGCCTCTGGTATCCAGTCATGTCCATCTCTAACAGATGGAGGAGATTCTCTCGCACATGCATCACCTCCCAATACCTCAGGCTGTCACACGTCAACTTCAGATAGTAGTAATATTCTTCAGAACAATGGCAGTTGTAGTCCAGATGGTGATTTGCAGAACAAGAGAACTGCATCTACTATACTTGGTGAGGACGGAAAGTCTGAATCAGTTGTCAGTCAAAGACCAAAATCTGTGGGCAGGTATGCAGAAGTACATGCAACCCTCTTATCATTTGAGACAATGCTTGGAACATTGACAAGGACCAAGGAGAGCATTGGTCGAGCAACTCGTGTTGCTATGGACTGTGGAAAGCTTGGTGTAGCTGCTAAGGTAGGTGAAATCTAATCTCTAACGTAGGTTCAAAAAATTGTACCTTATTTCCCCTCCGGGCTTTCTTTTTTAAGTTCAATTTTCTATGCCAAATTTTTGTAAAACATTTTAGATATATGAATGCTTTCATGATAACTAAGTGGAGACCGGTAATAACTCGTCATTGTAGTTGTATATGAATGCTTTCTTGATGATTAGATGGAGACCAGGAACATCACTCCTTGTAGTTGTAGAGGATACATAAAACTTCTTTTTGCTATTTCTTGTTGTACTTAAAATAATGTTGAAATATTGGCGGAGGAAAAATATGCATCCTTTTATAATTTCTCTTCTTTAAAACTCAGGTATTGGAGATTCTTGCCCATTATTTGGAAACTGAGTCAAGCTTACACCGGAGGGTAGACTTATTCTTCCTGGTGGATTCAATTGCTCAATGCACCCGAGGGTTGAAGGGTAATACATCTATGTTGTTTATCAGAGCTAATCCTCTCGCACAAATAGAATTAAGGGAATTACAAATATACTATGTGTTGGATTTCGTTGTCTTGATATTGATTTTGAAAAATAGGTGATGGCTGTGGTATGTACCCTTCTGCAATCCAAGCAATCCTGCCACGGTTATTGTCAGCTGCTGCTCCTCCTGGAAGTTCTGCACATGAAAATCGTAGACAATGTTTAAAGGTAAGCCAAGTACTTTTCCTTAGGGTCTTTTTTTTTTGTTGCCCATTCATAGCATGTTGTAATAGCATCCCACTCTTCATTATTGCTTAATACTCCGTAAATTTCGGACCTTACAATGTCATATGCGTTGTGCTAAATGCCTTGCCTGTTTCTCTTCTTTTGTATAAGGTTTTGAAACTTTGGTCAGAGAGAAGGATTGTTCCAGAGTCCATAATTCATCGCCATATGCGAGAACTAGATACTCATGGTGTGTCTTCTTCTTCTGGTGCATATGGCAGGCGCTCCGCGAGAACGGAAAGGTCTTTGGATGATCCTCTTAGAGAAATGGAGGGTATGCTTGTTGACGAATATGGAAGGTTTGAATTGGCTGGACCTTACTACTAGATTTTCTCAGATTCTCATATCAAATTGTTTATTGAGTTCTTTTTTTGCTACAGCAATTCAAGTTTTCAACTTCCGGGACTTTGTATGCCCCGCATGCTCAAGGATGAAGATGATGGATGTGATTCTGATGGGGAAAGTTTTGAGGCTGTCACTCCTGAGCACAATCCTCAGGCCCATGAAGAACAAGAAGAAACCACACCTGCCACTGAAAGACATAGGCATATCTTGGAAGATGTGGATGGAGAGCTTGAAATGGAGGATGTGGCACCTTCTTGTGATGTTAACATGAGTTCATCTTGTGGTGTTACTGGAGCCAATGGTGTGCAGGCTTCACATAATCAGTTTGAACAGAATTATCAACCGTCCCTTGCCCCTCCACTACCTCGAGATGTGCCACCGTCATCTCCTCCACTACCATCTTCTCCTCCGCCTCCACCACCACTGCCTCCACCTCATGTGATCCATCATCCATGCGCTCTGCCCGATGCCTATATGATTGGTGTTGATTCAAAGTCCTACACTGTTACACATGTGCGTATTTGCCATACTTCTCTTGTTTTCTTTAAATCTGTATAAAAATTGTCATGATATTGCTTTTCTTCTAACTTTTGGATGTGCATTTGCAGAATGTGCGTGACAACAGAGTTCAACCTCCACCTCAGCAGTTGAATGCACCAAGAGTCAACCAAACAATTCCCGATGCCATGCATTATTGTGCCTCTGAATGCAGAGATCATCAGAAACAGATGCCTGATTCTACATCGTGCTCTTATAGTAGTTTTCCTACATATTCAGATAGAAATGTGCCGCACTCTGATGGTGATACCTTCCAGAATAAAGGTTACCCTTTACTACCACCTCGTGCTCCACCATCCAGTCAGTTCTCATATGTTCAAGGAGACCAACAGGTAAAGCCTCGACGTGAGGCTCCGCCTCCTTATCATCACAACAGATTTGACTATGGGGACAGGGAAAACTGTTACAATAACCATGAAAGAATGAAACCTGGCCCGTATGAGCCCCGCGATAGCTGGAGATTTCATTCACATTCTTTTTCAGGTAAGATTTTAGAGTACAAATAATTTTATGATAGCAACGCTTTGTATTTAATTGCAATATTTTGATTTCAGAATTGTTGGCCCTCTTTTTGCAATAGGTCCTCGATATCCTGATAAAGGCAAAACTTCTTATGGAACTGACCCATATTCTGGCCCTCCATGTGAAACAACAAGAGGACCTGGCCAAGGTTGGAGATATCCTCCCCGCTCGATGAGCCACAGAGACTCTATGCCCTTTAGACCACCTTTTGAAGGTCCCATACCCGTCACAGGCAGAGGTGTGTGAATTTTCTGTAATAACTCGCTTTGTGCCTGGAGAAAATTATCCCCTAATATATTCGTGTTCATCTGTTTTAGGCTGGGAAAAATTGGTGTTTTGGATTTCCATTATAATATATAGGGACATTAAAATCGTTGGCTAAGCGACTCTTGTTTATGCTTCAGGTCCAAGCTATTGGCGGCCAAGATGATCGAAATGTAGCAAGTTGTCGTCAGGACTGGTGTGTTGCAGCTACAATGTGCTTTAATTTACCCTTTTCTAATAGTTGTTAGTTAACACTAAACACTCTTGCTAATTCTATAACGGTTCATGAATTTTAGGTAATGATCCATTTTTGATCTTGCTCCTGCCCCGCTTATTCAAGAGCGTCGGTCATCTTGACGCCGCGAGGCACAGACGTTTAGAAAGAGGAGGAGGCTACAAGGCACCGAAGACCGAGCGTTGGAATATAATGCTTTCGGTCTTGTACATATGTAATTCTATCATCCTTCCTCCTGCAAACGCAGATCAGGGAAGACGGTCATTTGCAGAGACGATTGAATTGATGAGAGGCCGTCAGTGACTAACTCTTAGGGTTGGCATTGTATCATTTCTTTCCTCTTTTTTTTTTAGCCAATTTTATCTCAAAATGTTTAGAGTAATTTAGTTATTGAAAGCCCTTTCGTAGGAATTTTGTGACATTTGTTAACAGAAACTCGTCGGTTCGGAGCAACTTTTATGTGCTCGATTTTTCTTTTTATACAAGTACCAAGATGATGCAACAATTTGAAACCTTGAAGTAACTTTGTATGTTTGCATGTGGTTGATTGCCTTTGCGGTTGGAGCCTTCATTTAAGCTCATGGCACCCGGGTTCGAAAGGAGTAGGGTTCTCTTCCCTTTTTTTTTTCCTCTCCTTTCCTCCCTTCCTATTTGAACGGTTACGGTTAAGTCATGTTAATATCTTATATTACGTTTTTATAAGAAAGACAAAATAGAGAATGTGAGGGGAGGGGATGGAAGGGAATGTAAAGAGGAAGTCGGAGAATCCTAGTCCGGTTCGAAAACCTCCCCCATCACCCCAAGTTTGCACCAGGTTCACAATTTAGAGTATAGTTTAGGGTTCATTTGATTGTTTTTTTTAAATTACTAAAAGCGTTTTTGGTGAAAATATTTTTAGAACCAATCGTTCGTAAACATGAAAAAAAGCACTTGAAGCTTCTTATGAGAAGTACATAATTGATGTTTTTTGTAGGAAATACTTCAAGTACTTTGGAACTCCAAAGCATTTTTTTTAAAATGCTTTCAATCATTTTAAAAACATTTCCAAACAAGGTCTTAATTAACAATTTTTGGTGTGATTGACGAGGGAAGTTGTTGAGAATCTCAATCATGCAAGTGAATGCGGCTTTATTTCTCAATTGCTTTGTTCAAAGCGTGACCCTCACCAAGGTACATGAGCTGTTTTTCATTTTTTCGGTCTCATGCCCTGTTTGTCTTTAAAAAAGAAGAAAAAGACTAGTTCTTTGTTGGGTAGATATACAAATATAAGATACCAAACTGGTTTCAAAATAAGGGTTTTCTATTTCTTGGGGAAGGGTTAACGTTTCTGAATGCTTTAGACAAAATAAAATTTAAAAATGCTTGTAACTAATATAAACATTTTCTAAATATTTTCATCATATCATTTTTAAAATTTCAATTGTTGAAATTATTGGTTTTTAGTATGTCGTCGATATTTGATTATGTGTCTTTAATAATTGATATTTCATTGACATGTAATCTAAATTTAGTTTTGTATAGTTGCCCAATTTTTAATAAAATTCAACATTTAAAAAAAAAATTCAATTTTCCTAATAGTTTAGTCCTTGGGCCTAGGAAGCCTTTGGGATGCCCTTGACTAATTCTAGGATTGGTTTGGTATTGATGTACTGTGGAAAAAAACTGTTTCTGATGTGCTGTGAGAATAAGCTCATTTTTGCTGCTTCACGTTTTCAACTTTTTTTTTTCACCTGAAACTGTGAAAATAAACTATTTTTAAGTATTTACCAAATACCTTTTTAAGCTAAACTTTTTTTTATATCTAATTTTTATTAAAGAACCTCAGTACTAAACCAGTACCTAATCATCGAAGAACTTAAAAAATATTACCAGCCAAGACAATTCTTACGAAAAAAAACAGTTAAAACGAGCCGTAAATGGTTTTAAATAACCGAAAACGCTGTATTACACTCATGACATGAGTAGGAGTTGACCCGTAGAGAAAACCGGTTGGAACTGGAATTGTAGAAAGACAACAACACATTACTGGCTGGACCAGCAAACAGACTCCTCAATGATTCATCACCCAACAAGAAACTGGAAACTGAAAATTTTAAACCCAATTGCCTCTAAATTAAGAAACTTTTGAAACTCTTGCCTGCCATGGGATTGATTGATGACAAATAAGGCAACTGTCCAACCCTTTCCTCCTCCTCCTTCCTCCCACAGTTTCTCAGTTTATTGTTTTTCCTTGTAAAAGTCAGCTAGAGAGAGAAACAGGGAGTCTAGAGGGAGAAACAGGGAAAATGGGTGGCTTCCAATCTGTCTCTGAACAATCCATCCATGAATTCACAGTGAAGGTAGAAAACCCATCTCAAAATGATGGCTTTTCTTCTCCAAGTCTGTCATTTGGTTCAGAAAATCTTGATAAAGTTTGGTTTTTTGTGTTCTTTCTGAATTTTCTCTGGGTGGTGGTGGCAGGATAGCAGAGGGAAGGAGGTGGACCTCGGCGTTTACAAGGGGAAGGTCGTCCTCGTCGTCAACGTTGCTTCCAAATGGTTCTTCTTCTTCCACTTTTTTCCTTCACTTTTTTTTTTTTTTTTTTAATTTTAAATTTGGTTTAATTTCTATTGATTAATTCTTGTATTTTTGTTCTTCAGTGGGTTTACTGATACGAATTATACCCAGTTGACTGAGATTTACAGCAAATGCAAAGAGAAAGGTTAATTTTTTTTTCTTTCCTTTTTAATTACTTTTTTCACTGCTGCAGCTCTATATGTATGAACTTGTTATTCAGAATTGAGTTTGAGTTATGGTTAAATAATAAATGATATTGTCCCATTTAAAAACTCTGTTTTGTTTCATTTTCCATAAACCAAATGTTATGATTTCATTGCTAATTTCCAACTACTGGTGCGAAATCCGTTTATCGAAATTGTTGGGATTGTCATTTTAGAATTGAGCGCAAAACCGAGTGCAGTGGCGTTCTAGGATTCATACAGCCGGCCCCACTTGGTGGAAGCTTTGTTGTTGTTGTATCATTTTAGAATTGAGTTTCTGGGACGTAGCTTTAATTCTTGAATGAAGTTCTGGGTTTTATTTCTGTTTTGTAAACCAAATGTTATATTTTGTTTGTGTTGCTGGTTTCCAAGTTCTTGTAGAAATCCGTGTATTGAAATTGTTCGTGTGATTTATCCCTCGCCATGCTACCCTTGTACTTCTAAGTTTAGGTGATGCCATTTGCCCGTTAAGACTTCGAGCGAATATTTGTTTAGTTTTGTCTTTTGATTTGGTTTGGACATGAGTGATTGCAGGTTTTGAGATCTTGGCATTTCCGTGCAATCAGTTTCTAAAGCAAGAGCCCGGGACAAGTCAGGATGCTGAACAATTTGCATGTACAAGATACAAGGCTGAATATCCAATATTCAAGAAGGTAACCGAGTAACTTTTACCCCATTACTATCTGCTAATCAATCAGATTATCTTAACCGTATAAGGTGCTTGTACTGTTCTGAGCTTTGAAAAAAGACGATTACTGATGTGATATTATTAGCGGCTCATGGATTTGCCATTAATCTCTCTTCCATGTTGAAATTCTGGACAGAAAAATACTGCTCAGTGCTACCTTCTGCCTATTTATCCCGAGCTGTTAGAGAACGTTTTCTCTCAAACAGCTTTTCGAGGAAGGCATGATCAACAACTTGATACTGATATAGAATTCTCTTACTCTTGCTGGATACCAATCCTCGTTTGTTTTGATTTCTGAGAAAAGGAAATCCCAAGTAAATTTGGCCTATTCACATAATTCGTAGGCAGGGCTGCAGGGGCTGGCTAAGCCTAATGCTACCCTCTACTCACGAGATTATGGGGTTCCTTCCCCACTACAACATGTTTTAGAAAACAAACAACAAACCTTGCCACCCTTCGAGGTCACGACTTCTGAAACAATTTTCTTTTTCTGTGGAACTCGGAAACCTTTCACTTCTCAATTCCTAAGATGATGCGCTTCAAGCTGAGTGCAAAAGTAAAGTACAACCATTGACAGGAAACAAACCATGAAATCAAACAAGCTAATCGATTAAATATTTATTTATTAACCAGAGGAACTGTTACTGGTTTTAAATTTGGCTTGCCCTACATCCAGGAGAAAGCAGCGGAAATTGACTGTTGATGTCTCACATCAGTTTAAGATACTCTTATCTTATCTTATGCTATCTCCATAACGAGTGTTAATCCAGTTGATTGCTGTCTGAGCACTGAGCAGTGTATCTTATTTTAAGATCTTTAGTTCTGTGGCGCGATTTGTAAACTAAATCTGGCTGTTCAAAATAAATTCCGTACTCCTTTCTGTATGTAGGTACGTGTCAATGGGCCGGATACAGAACCTGTGTACAAATTCCTCAAAGCAAGTAAATCTGGATTTCTGGGGAATAGTATAAAGTGGAACTTCACCAAGTTCTTAGTTGACAAGGATGGCCATGTCATTGAACGGTACGCCCCAACCACCTCCCCCTTGAGCATTGAGGTACTCTCTCTCTCTCTCTCTCTCTCTCTCTCTCTCTCTCTCTCTCTCTCTCTCTGTGTATTCACAGAGAAGCATTACTCTGATCATGGCTTAAAACTTATCTTTGGCACAGGCCGATATCAAGAAAGCGCTAGGGGAGGCGTGATGTTATCAGGCAGTTCATCTTCAGACAACAGTGAAAGAGCATAGGAGTTCTTAGTGTCTCTCTTCCCTGTTCGTTATCTTTCCTCCCGGTGTCTTCGCTAGTTCTCCCCATTCCCGTCTGTGTAACCATTCTCTGTTTTTTGTTTTCGATGGGAACCCTTCTCTTTTAGTACTTATCGGTGATTTAATGGAGTCACGTTTCTGTTTATTCTTTCCTGTAATCCACATTTATGTAGAAAGCATATGGAATCAGCAGTATCCAGAACTATAAAGGGCAACACCAAGCCAACAAGGCTCTCCGTTTTGCGAGGCTTATGTCAACAAGAGCTGCTGGAGCTGCTATTGTCAACAAAAGAAGCTGCTGTCTGTCAACATGGACATGGCAGTAATTACTCTCACATTAAATGTTGTCAAGTGAGGTGGGAACATGTAGTTAAGGGTATTAGATATTAGATGTATAGTTTGTAATATAAAGAGCTCCTTACGCTTACGGAGCCAATGTAATACAATGAAACAAGAAAATTGACCCACAAACCCATTATTTCTGAGATGGTATCGGGGCAGTCGATCATGACTGACTCTTGAACCTCAAAACCAGAAAAAGCTTTCGCCAAAGTCATATCTCGATTACCATCATAAGCAAATTATTCTTCATTTTTTCCCATATCAGTTTCATCTTTTATTTCAACTTCACTGATCTTAAGCCTATACAATGGCTAGTGATGATGAAGTTCTATTTCTGATGAGATCATACCTGAGTCAAGTCAAATTGAGTCCACTAAATATCAACTTCCCCCTCGAAAATCTTGAGGGATTCCTAAACAGTTGTATGATCTTGATCCTAGAGCCAAGGTTAAATACCCAATTGCTAACCATGTGTCTTTCCATAGGCTATCTACATCATGTGAGGCATTTGTAAATCAATTATCCACTGTATCTATTCCTTGTAGTGTAGAGGATGCTATGAATGATCCTAGGGGGACTCGTGCAATGAATGAAGAAATGGAAGCACTCCAGAAAAATTCTACTTGGGAGTTAACTAACCTACCCAAGGGGAAGAGAGCAATTGGTTGCAAGTGGATATACAATGTAAAATTCAATGCAGATGGCACTATTGAGCGATACAAAGCAAGATTAGTGGCAAAAGGCTACACGCAAACATACGACATTGACTACGAAGAGACTTTTGCCTTGTAGCTAAGATCAGCATTATTCGTGTACTCTTATCCCTAGCAGCAAACCTTGACTGGCCTTTACAACAATTTGATGTCAAAAATGCTTTCCTGCATGGAGATTTAGAAGAAGAAGTTTACATGGAGCTTCCCCCAGGATGCAAGCTGGATCCCAATCAGACCAACAACGTTTGTAAACTAAAAAAGTCGTTGTATGGTTTAAAACAATCACCAAGAGCTTGGTTTGTGAAATTTACCAAATCGATGAAAATCTTTAGATACAAGCAAAGCAACTCAGATCATACTCTTTTCTTAAAGCATAAGAAATATAAAATCATTGCTCTTATTGTATATGTGGATGACATGGTGGTTATAGGAAATGATTCAAAAGAGAAGCCAGCACTGCAAAAGTATCTAGCAAGTGAATTTGAGATGAAAGATCTCGGTGCCTTAAAGTATTTCTTGGGCATTGATGTGGCCCGCTCACAACAAGGAATATTTCTATCACAACGGAAATATGTTCTTGATATTTTGACGGAAACCGGGATGCTATCATGCAAACCAGTAGATACCCCAATTGAGTTGAATCACAAACTTGTGAATATCCTAATCAGATACCTACCAACAAAGAGAGATATCAGCGACTTGTTGGTAAACTAATATATCTTGCACATACTAGACTAGATATAGCATATGCAGTTAGCATGGTGAGCCAGTTTATGCATGCACCAAGCGAAACACACATGGATGCTGTAAACTGTATCTTGAGATATTTAAAGTCAGCTCATGGGAAATGATTAATGTTTTCAAAACATGATCATCTAGACGTTAAAGGCTACACTGATGCTGATTAGGCTGGTGATGTAACTAACAGACGATCAACATCAGGATACTTTGTTATTGTTGGTGGAAATCTAGTCTCTTGGGTAGTAAGAAACAAAAGGTCGTTGCTATATCAAGTGCTGAAGCAGAATACTAGAGCATGGCACATAGAGTATGTGAACTGCTTTGGGTGAGGAACTTACTGAGAGTTTGGGATTTAGGCCCAAGCATGTTATGCGTCTACATTGTGACAACAAGGCTCCGATTGACATTGCTTACATACCGATTCAACATGATCGAACTAAACATGTGGAGGTGGATAGACATTTTATTAAAGAAAAACTTGAGGCAAGACTCATTGAAGTTCCATTCGTAAATTTGAAGATCAATTAGCAGACATGCTCACCAAAGCAGTCACAAGTACAATATTTCACAGCTCATTGAGCAAGTTGGGCATTCACGACATCTATGCACCAACTCGAGGGGACGTGTCAACAAGAGTTGCTATTGTCAATAAAAGAAGTTGTTGTCTGTCAACATGGACATGGCAATTGTCAATGTTAATTACTCCTCACATTAAATGTTGTCAAGTGAGGTGGGAACATGTAGTTAAGGGTATTAGATATTAGTTGTATAGTTTGTAATATAAAGAGAGCTTCTTACGCTTACGGAGCCAATGTAATACAATGAAACAATAAAATTGACCCACAAACCCATTATTTTTTAGAGGTTATACGCAACCTTACCCTTACTTTGCAAAGCGGTTGTTTTCACAACTCGAACTCGTGACATTTCGGTTACAAAGGAGCAACATTTCCGTTGCTCCAATGCTCACTCTTAGTATCCAGAACTATCCAGATGAAAAATAATAGTTGTTCCATCAAGTGTGCAGAATGGAATTGTGAATCTGGTCTGTTTGGTCGGAAAATATCCAATGCTGATAATGTACTTGCGCTCTTCCTTCGTTTCTTCATCCGACAAGTTGGATTTTTATTAAGACTTTGTGGAAGCAAAAACATTCTCATTGGTTTTTGTACAATGGTTCTGAAGCCCCCTTCATCCTTCCCACGTGAGCGTCTCCTAATTATCATATTATGGAAGAAGGACTTGGGTAGCACTCGTGCATTGATATTTTATAGGTGGCATGAAAGAATCAGTCCAACTGTAGTTGGGTGGTATATTATCCGATCATATGTCTTAGTGATATAAAAGAGTTGCCCCTCAACCTATGTGTATGACGTGTTTGCTTACATGGGATGGGTGCTAGAATCAATCGATTCTTGACCAGGGTTTACGAAAACTTAAGTATCATGACTGTTTTAATTCGCAACTCCCCTTCTATTTACTAATCCTTTAAATCAAAAAACAAACTTTGAGTTCTACATTAAAATTCGTTTTGATCTGATACTTAAAAAATCAAGAATCAGATTAGTTAGCCTCCTAATTGATCCCATGGCGATCCCTTCTGTCGCTTTCTTGACTCATGATTTTTTCGTTTCAATTAAGTAAAACATGCCATCTGATGTGGAATTCTGTCAAGCATCAATAATTATCTCTTGAATGTTTTCATCCATTGAGAGATAAGGTTGCAAGTGTTTTCTCTCACTGCATGAAGTGTCCCCTGAGACAATTAGGTATCTCTCTCAGACCAACTTGTGGTGCGTCAAAGCCACTAATTTAAAGGGGTGCCCCCCAAGTTGTCCATTCGTAGGGTTCACATTCGCACGTGGAATGCAGGTTTTGTAAGGTCGTTGTTGTTGAAGGCGAATGATCGTCCTTACTGTTCCTTAAAGTCCATACAAGTAGGGCTTCAACTTCTGCTTCAAGTCATTGAAGATTATCTTTTTGAATTCCTAAGGTTTACGAATCTTAACAAGCATATAGTACATGTATCTTGTGACAAAACTAGAATTTAAAAAAAAAACAAATACAACTATTGTTATCACACCGACAATCTTTTAAGATTTAAGGATCTTAATGTACGTATAATCATAATACATGAATTTTATGATAAACTTAAACTTTTATGAAAACTAAAAGCAATTATTACGATACTGATTATGCTTACTAATTTCTTGCACGGCCTGTTAACCTGACACGAAACGACACAGAAATAATAGGTTTCGGATGAACCCGTTAACTATTCGGATTATTATCAGGTCACCTATTCAGAATGCGTTAGCAAATCATATCGTTATCGGGTCACCCATTAAGAACATGTTAACGAATCGGATCGTTATCGGGTCACCCATTGAAATACCCTTTGAGCAACGGGTATAACACGTAAACGACACGAACATGACCTATTTGCAAGGTCTAGACATTATAAATGGCAATTTCTTTAACTAATTTACCTGACACAAAACTACATGACTCTAATGAGTCAGGTCATTATCCGGTCATCTATTAAGAACCTCTTAAGACAACAAATTTAGCATGACATAATCCGTTAAGATAACAAATATGACATGAAAATAACACAAACAAACACGATCTATTTGTCAAATCTAATACTAACGTGCATCCGTTATCATGTTAGCCTCTAAAAATAATATGTGAGAAACGATATTCGTAAAAAGTTAAAAACTTGTTTCACGAGATGAAGTCGAAGATAATGTTTACATGTGATTGTATTTGGTTTTTGCTGAAGATAAAGTGGATAGCATGTCGGTTTGACCAACATAATTTGGAGTCGAACATAGCACGACATGTTGCACGTGATTATTTAGCCGTGGGAGGGTGTGGCTGGCCCCATTGTACTAGTCCTTATCCGAGACGTGGAGTCTTGGTAGTGGTTACAAAATGTAGTTACTGGCCAGTCTGAACTTGAAGAATGTCATATGCTCTAGTACATGCAGATTCTTTAATCATATTCACAATGATCTAGAGCTGGTTTTGGGTTAGAGAGCTTAGTTAGGTGGGTTGGGTTGGCAACTTGGAAGTGTTGAAATAGAAGATATTTGAAGTTCGATTCTCACCCTCCATAATGTTAAGTACTTATTGTTCGACTGGAGTTTTGTTGGTAGGAGGATCGGTTATGAACTGTAAAGGTTAGGGGGCTGTTGATTTACTCGTTGTATTAATTCTGGAGTCAGTTTGTGTGATCGAGCTTGTCTTCTTTCTATTTTGGTGCACACAAGTGTTTGTTGAGAGTGTGAATCAAAATGAAAAAAAAAAAAGTAAAGTCTTGCCTAATTTGTTTAAGCGATTTTTGAGCATTTCAATCGTATTTCCAATTACTTTCATGTTCGAAGCTAACATTAGTTTGGAAGTGATTTAATAGCTGATAGCGCTTTTAGAGAGAACTTAGTTGTGTTCCAAAAGTATTATCAACAAAAGTGTTCTTAGTTTTGAAAGTACTTTAGTTATTTTGAAAACACCTTCAAATGAGCCTTAAGAGTTGGTCGAAAATGTGGAGTTATAGTGGGATTTATTGTCGTAAAAAGAAAGAAAGCATAACTAAGCAATTTGAATTCTTCGAACATACAAAAACTTCCTTAAACTTTATAATATGAACATACTTTTTTTATTCACTCCACATAATGTTGAATACACTTCATATTAAATTATATTAAATAACTTATATACTCTAATATGAAATGACAATTTCGATATCATAAGGTAAAAAAAAAAACAATAAAAAAATACACCCCCATCACTTTTAGTATGCATATCCCAATATTATTTATCTTCCTTAACTCTCAAAACCACTCTCATCCTCCATTGTAGAACAAAACCATAACCAATGAGATTACAAACACGTTGATTGAAAAAAATATTTTTGACGAATGGAACATGAAATTGACATTTCGAAAGCTTTACATGAGGTGAGACATCATGTTTTTCATTATTTTAATGATTTCAATGATGTTGGCATTCTTATAGTTGTGCTACGAATGATATCCCTTGTAAAAAGCATGGTTGATGATGAGTATCACACAGTTAATTAATAAGCCCTAGCCCATATCTGATCACAAAACTCCGGCTATTGTGTTGGTACTTCTAGTGCGGAGGAGTACTTAAAGAATAATTGGCATGCCTTTGAATCCAAACTTAGTTCGTTTGATGAAGATATTGATTACCATGAAAACTACATGGTTGAATGAGCTCAAAGAAAAATTTGTGGTTGCATAGATTGACACTTGTATGCATTTTGGTACAAAAACAAATTAATGGTTGAATTGTTTTATCTAAGACTGAAGAGTGGAGTGTATGCACAAAATGTGGGATGTATGTTGAAAGTGTAGAGTGTGAGCGTACTATGGGAAAATATGTGAGATGTATTAAGATAATTGAAAAAACATATATATGGTGTATTAAGTATGTGAAGTTTATTCATCAATACGTAAGCTATTAAGAAAACAAGCTTTTCACAATGATATTAAACATCTTACCTTGACAAAAAATAAAAAATAAAAAAATAAACAAAAAATAAACAAAACATCTTACCTTGACATTTAAATCTCTATATGAATAAAAATATTGTCGTTTCGACTAAAAAACTGAATTATTATTGTGATATGATCAAGTAATGATAACTAATATATAGATTAATTAATTCTTATGCCACTAACCAAGGTATAATACGTGTACAATCTTTTTTTATAATAAATGTCTATTTGCACTATTAATTCCTCACACCCTTTGCTTATTTTTCTTAAAGAAAACCATATAATATTAATTGTAAAAGAATTATAGTGCCCAGGTAATAAAATATGAGAACACATAAATAGATTAATTGTAAAAAATATCGATACGAAGAGCAAACATAACAAGGTTTTAAGCTTGATTGGACTTTAGAGGTTTATATCTAATTCTCTATTGGTTGACTTTTACACTATAAAACTATAGAAATCAATCTTTAGCCTTAACAATTGGAACCCTAATTTACAGTAAACCTCAATTACATAGCACATTAGCTTTTTCCATTTATTCGATCCATTAAGTTCTTCAATTTGTTTAAAGAAGAAACGAGAGACGAATAGAAGTTTAGGGTCGAATATCCCCCCTCGACTATTATTTAAGTGTATTATCTTCGGGTATAACAGACAATTAATAGTCTTAAAACAATATAATCCCAAATCAAATCTCTTTCTTTGTGTTTTCAATTTTGTATTAGTTTTCTCTAATATTTTAATTATCTTAATCACTCAGACAGAGACGGGGATGAGTCGGGGATGAGTCGGATGACCCCTCCAATGGAAGGAAGAGTCGATGACGACGATGAGAGGTCCCTTTTGAGGGTGTAAGCAACGAGCAGACAAGCTAATCGGAGGGCCCCACCCCTGTCTTATTGGCCCAACCAGGGGCCAACATTTGTCAACTACCACCACATATTTTTGTTCCCCTCTCTCATATCTTCTTCCTCCTCCTCCCTCCTCCTTCCTCCTCTCCATTTTCTCTATTTAAACCACTTTTGTCCCTAAAAACCACCATCAAGTTCAAACCCGCCACCACCACAAGTCTTCCAAACTTCTTCAAAGTCTCTTCCAATTTCAATCACTCCCACTCTCTCAGTCTCAACCGCTTTAAGAATTTAGTCGATAACTATCTAGTTTTCAGTTTCAAATATTCCTTGTTTTCTGCATGGACATGGAAGCCAAGGCGATTCCAACAAGGACGAGGAGTTCTAGTTCGAAGGTTCGGCCATGGGGACGGTGTTCGAAGCAGATACGAGAGCAGCGGGCGCGGCTTTACATCATATGGAGATGTAGTGTGATGCTCTTATGCTGGCATGAGTAATTAAGAGGTTAATTATAATCATAATTAGCACTGGTTGGCCAAGTTTGAGATTACTCAGTATTAGGGTGACTAATTAACCATAGGGGTATTGTGGTTTTCTCTGTATAATAATTAGGCAAAGGTGACCACTTTTTGGATAGATGGTAGGTTTAATTAGTATGTAGACAATTAAAGCTCCAAATGTCTTGATGAACAGAAATTTTTAGGATGCTCGGAATACAAGATGGTACACTATATGTTATTATATAAGTAGAGAAAAGTTTTATTTTTCAAGTGTCTTTCTACTTATATAATGACATGTGTTGTAACACTTCGTGTTCCGAACACACTGAAAAAATCTCTCATATTTGACATTGTAAATATATGATAGTTTAATGTACTCTTATTTTCTTAGTTTGTTGATAGTAATGATCATTCTATATATTTGTGTGAAAAATACTTGGCTCCTTACCTTTTTGATACAAAAATATATTTACACTATGAAGGTGAGAGAGCAAATTGGTTCCGATCTCATTATTCACAAGATTCAAATCTAAATTTTTTCATTTACAAGTACAAGTAAATATTACTAGACCACGTTATATGTGAGGATTGAGAGACAAACAAATGTTCTACTATAATTTCCACGACTAGCACAAATATTTGAGTCCAAATTCAAGAGTGTCACAAAAAGCATAAGTCATGGTGCCCGAAATTTTTTCCTTTGGAAAAAATATATTTGGTATCAAACTAACCATCTATCTGAGTTGAACCTCGGACTTTTCAAAGAATAAAACCGTTAGACCATTTATTATTTACGTGCCCAAATTGAAATGTTAAACCTTACTATCATTGACTGGAGTCAAAACCGACCAATCTGGCAATGTTTCTAATTGCTGAATGTGTAAGAAAATGATTTGCTTATCCCCAAAAGCCATTTGACTTCACTTTTTCTTAAGATTAACCGGATGTACATTCATTAACCATCTGGACATTTTAATTTATAGCTCTCATATTTTTGAACCACCAACAGTGTTCCAGAAATATATCTCTGTACATCACGTGTTATGAGATAAGTGAATGTGAGTTTTTTTATTCAAAGATCCCATACTTTTATCGCACATAATGTACTTGTTCATATCTCAAGTACACTTAAAAATTTCTCCACCAGCACACCATCATCATGCATTGTTTGGCTGAATTGAGTTCGCCAAAATCACATAATGACGAGATTAGTCAACGGAACTGGACAGATTTTTTCATGTCACTTTCGTGTGTCGCACTATAAGCTTCTTAAAATTCATACAAGCAATTTTGGATATGTACGCATCAACAATAGTACTCCATTCTAGTACAACTTCAAAATTGAGTTTTTATCATTAATAATCAAAATTTAGCCGTTAAATTTATAAATATAATTTTTTATAAATAATTTCAAATATATCCAAAATTCTACTTAAATATACCCATTTTCCCTCAAAATTAAAACCTAATTACAACTAAAAGCCAATTGTCTTTTAAATTGTATTCATCTTTGTTCATGAGGAAGGGAGTGGCAAATGGGGATATTGAAGGCCTTTTGGAACAAGACGAACACCATGAATGTATGTCGGCTGCACCATTGTGAAATCAAAACACATTATAAATATAAAAATTGAAGTAGAAATTGATATATTAGAATACATGGGGAGCAATCAAAACAACAATTAGATCGATAAAAAGTGTGTTCCTCAAATTAATATTATATATGCATAATACCATGGAACCGTATACTAGAGATTTCCATCCAAACGAAGACATGAAAAATTCTATTTTGAAAATATGCAGAAGTTCCGGGTCTATGAAATTTACAGAAAAAATATCAGATGATTATCATGCAAAAATATACAGTTTTAGGTGTTCGTCAATTAATATATGAAGGGTAAATTACCTAATATTCCCTCATGTTTGAGGTTTATTATAACCCCATATAATATCTTTAAAACATTTCACTTTCATAGCTCACGTATTATTTTATTTCAAAATAATACCTTCCTTAGATTTTACATTCATTGGTTTGTTAAATGCTGACGTGGCTGCCACATTTGTACTGGTATGGTTGCCATGTGGCAAAAATAATAATTTTTTATATATTTAAAATATTATAATATTAACCCTATTAAAAAATAAAAAACCAGAAAAACCCAAACCCATAAATCATTCCCCGCAACCCCACATCCCACCCCCACCCCCTTACCCATCTCTTCCTTCCCGTCCGTCCATCCCTTCCACCCCTCCATCGCCTCCACCTGAGCACCCTTCAGCGTAGGTCCCACCTCGACCTCTCTCTCTCTCTCTCCCTCCCTCTCTCTCTGAGAAATCCTTCCCCGCAACCCCACATCCCACCCCTACCCCTTACCCATCTTTTCCTTCCCGTTCGTCTATCTCCTCCACCCCTCCATCCCTTCCACCCGAGCACCCCTCAGCGTAGGTCCCACCTCGACCTCTCTCTCTCTCTCTCCCTCCCTCTCCCTCCTAGAAATCCTTCCCCGCAACCCTACATCCCACCCCCACCCCCTTACCCATCGCTTCCATCCCATCCATCCATCTCATCCACCCCTCCATCAATCCCTTCCACCCCTTCATCCCATCCACCCGAGCATCCCTCAGCGCGGGTCCCACCTTGACCTCTTTCTCCCATAAATCCTTCCCTGCAACCCCACATCCCACCCCCACCCTCTTACCTATCTCTTCCTTCCCGTCCATCCATCCTAACTTTGACGACCTCCTCTTCTTCGACCCTTCCAACCTCGACCTCTCCTGCCTCGCCTCCCCTAACCTCCTGCCATGTTTCTCGAGTCCGACCACTCCTCAGAGGGCCAACCACCTAACCCCTTCTCCTCGACCCCCAAGCCCACCGCTTCCTTCGGTTCCACCGCCACTGCTGCCCACCTTCAGAGCTTCTCCGTCAACTCTGACTTTTTCGACGGTTTGGGCAGGACTCTCTACGAGTTTGGGGGTTAGGTTATTAGGGTTTCGGAGTGGGGATTTTGTAAATGGGTTGGTTGGTGGGTAGAATTAGGTATGGAAGTGCTTCAATGGGGATGAACCGTGGGCTGAGTGGTGGATTTTGTGAATGGGAGTTACAGAAAGGTGAGGGGGAAGGAAGGGGATCTGGGTTCGGGTTTTTCTGTTTTTTTTTTTTTAATTTAAATAGGGTTAATATTATAATATTTTTAATGTATAAAAAATATATTTTTTGCCACGTGGCAGCCACGTTAGCATTTAACAGACTAATGGATGGAAAATCTAACGGAGGTATTATTTTGAAATAAAATAGTTCGTGAGGTATGAAAGTGAAATGTTTTAAAGATGTTGTATGAGGTTGTAATAGACCTCAAACCTTAGAGGTTATTATGTAATTTACCCATAAATGAATTTGACAAGTTGATTGCTCATTCTCTTTTGGTTCTTTCCACTTATTGGATTGGAATATATGGAAATAATCAAAACCCCTAAAAAAAATAAAAATAAATAAGAGTAGAAGGAAATCCCATCCGTATATGTGAATTGAACAATTACTAGGTATAGAGAGAAAAAATCCCAAGAGCTCAAATGCGATGAGGGTATTTTAGTCTTTTAAAGTTTATTTTTGGCTATATATGATATTTTTTTTTTAAAAACTGATATTTTTGAAATTAAAGGTCAAATTCTAGCTATATTTAATAAATACTCTTAAAAATTAACCAAAAAATACTTGTGTGACTCACCATTTCCACATGGGGCCTAGAATTCGGAGACGACATTTGGAGGCGACTAGGAGTCATTATTGGAGATGGCGCAGTCAAGAGGAAGCAAGGGAACGATCCTAGCAATCCCATGGTTCTTGAGGGGTCCGCTAAGACTGTTTAGTGAGCCCGTTAGTCTAGGCAAGTGAGACTTTATCCCATTAAAGTTAGTCCTAGTGAGAAACAAGCACTAGACTACCTTACCCTTTAATCTAGTCTAATCTAGTAAGAGCTAAAGTCAAACAAACACACCCTTAAGGATAAAATCATTCCAGTATTGGCCGTCAACAGGCCCAGGAACATTTCACTGTCAGGAATAAAATATGTGTACATATATAATATTCTAATAAACTCATCAAGTCCAAATTATGATTGTTTTGAGGACAAGGATTGTCTGCCCTCCACTTCCGATGCCTTCCTCGTGCCTTCCTGTTTGTATGGTCACGGTTAAGTCACGTCAACATTTTATATTATTTTTTTTATAGATATAATAAGACAAAAATAAATAGTAATATAAAATATTGACATGGCTTAATCGTGACCACACAAAATAGAAGGGCACGGGGAGGTCACCGGAAGTGAAGGGCAGACAATCCTTGTCCTTGTTTTAAATCTCCACTATACAAAATCATATAAATACTTGCAGGCTATAGCAAAATATAAATCCTCCTTAATTTGAAACAAAAATTGCATCCGTCTTCGAAGTTGATCCTGTTCATATTCACGGCATATGATACGCAGTAGAAGGCTTAGACATCCAATTCTTCGTCGAAGACGACATCCCATCCACCGTCGATAAGTTCCTTTTGATCGGCCTTGGTTCTTTCCCGTTCGAGTATGCTTTTTGGTGATAGGCCGTCAACTGAAGGAGCGGGGCTTGCCTTCTCTGGCGACTTTGGTAACTCAAGTCGTTCTGGAACTAAATCGAATGCCACGCTTTTCATGGATGAGCCTGAAGAAGCTAGGATGCAGCTCGTCTGGCTCGAGGATACTGACTCGCTTAGCGGAACCCGCTCATCAAACTTCTCTTTCAGAAGCCTGACATCGTGACAAATAACAGAAATTTCTCCTCTGCACATGTATGGAAAGACTATTATCGTCTCCTCAAACGCATAAAAACGCATGCTGCAAATAAAAGCATTGAACAGAAACAAAATTCTCGAGGAATAAATAAATTGCAATAGAACAAAATATTACCAGATAGCGAATAATTTGAGGTATCGGATTAGATTGCGACATAACAGACAACTAGGAGATGAGATTATATTGATAATGCTTAAAAAGTAACCTAATTCATTTAGATGTGGATGATTTAAAATTGCTGGAGGAGACAAGATGAAATAAAAAGGGTAACTTTACTATATCTAAGGTTAACTGCAAAAACGATCTCAACGTAACTAAAGTTCCTCATACACATATATCAAGTCTAATATAAGGCAGGAGAGGATGCAAAATTGGTAATGGAGTTCTCCGAAATCAAGAGCAATACGTACTATACTTGCAAGTTGCTTGGCATCAGCCACTTTACATAGGTAATAGAGACCTCGATGGTCTAAACTGTAAACCAAACTTTAGAGCTTATAATATGAAAGCAATGGAGACAAAATCACTTACTGTAGCATATCAACAATGCGGCCACGATCCATCAGAAACTCCCGTAACTGCAAAAAGAAAAATTTGAGTAATTATATTATCGGTTATCTTAACTCCGCCTATGTCTTACATGGCCGGTCCCAAGCCCGGATAAAGGAGGAGGGGGAGGGCGTCAGGTAGTCGACAGCCGGCACTCCATGATCACGTCGAATCCTTATGAAAATGAATCCAGAACAAAATCGCGCTAAAGCTAGGGCGTCACCCGTAAGTGGCGCGCTGTGTGGCTGAGCACAGTGATAAGTGAGCAAGGGTCGCTGTATCTCCATCGGCACCCGGATGCAGTGTTAAATGAGCAAGGGGGCCATAGAAACTTCTTTTCGAACGACTCCACTCAAAGTTGTTTGGGAGCATATGCTCCTATCAACTTTACCCGGGACACACAAAAGAAGTACTTTGATCCTATTAGACGGGGGAGGGTGAAGAAGCTAGGACAGAAGGGTAGAGTTCAAGAGAGCAAAATGCGTTTAGGAACGTGGAATATAGGAACCTTAACGGGAAAATCTATGGAAGTAGTGGAAGTTATGGTGAGGAGAAGGATAAATATTATGTGCCTACAAGAAACTAAGTGGGTTGGTAGTAAGGCAAAGGATCTAGAAAACTCAGGGTTTAAACTTTGGTATTCGGGCACAAATAGAACGAGAAACGGTGTTGGCATCATCGTGGACAAGACCTTGGTACAAGATGTTGTAGATGTCAAGAGGGTAGGAGATAGAATCATGGCAATCAAGATTGTAATAGGACAAGAACTTATCAATGTGATTAGTGCGTACGCACCTCAAGTAGGGTTGGATACGAGTTCGAAGGAGAAATTTTGGGAAGACCTTGGAGACTTGGTGCAAGGAATTGCTCAGACGGAGAAGTTATTTATAGGAGGAGATTTAAATGGACACGTGGGCAGGGAGACAGGCAACTATGGAGGTTTTCATGGTGGCCATGGTTTTGGGGAGAGAAACGAGGATGGGGAAGCTATCTTGGATTTTGCAATGGCATATGATCTCTTCTTAGCCAACACCTTCTTTAAGAAGAGAGAAGAACATGTGATCACCTACAAGAGTGGGTCGTCAAAAACACAAATAGATTTTCTTCTAATGAGGAAAGGGGATCGTATAACTTGTAAGGATTGCAAAGTTATACCAGGAGAGAGCGTGGCTAATCAACATCGCTTGTTGGTGATGGATGTACATATCAAAAGAGTGAGACAAAAGAACAAGACTTGGAAGTGCCCAAGGACTAGATGGTGGAATCTAAAAGAAGAAAAACAAGCCATTTTCAAAGAGAAGGTAATCACCCAATGTGTGTGGGATAGAGAGGGGGAAGCTAGCCAAATGTGGGATTCCATGGCTAGTTGTATCCGAAAAGTAGCAAAAGAGGTATTAGGAGAGTCCAAGGGCTTTGCCCCACACCAAAAGGAATCTTGGTGGTGGAATGAGGAGGTACAAACAAAGGTGAAGGCTAAGAAGGAATGTTGTAAAGCCTTATACAAGGAGAGGACCGATGAAAATGGTGAAAGGTATAGAAAAAGCGAAGCAAGAGGCGAAGAAAGCTGTCAGAGAAGCTAAGTTAGCGGCTTACGACGATATGTATAAACGACTAGATACCAAAGAAGGAGAGTTGGATATCTATAAACTAGCTAGAGCAAGGGAAAAGAAGACAAGGGACCTAAACCAAGTGAGGTGCATCAAGGATGAGGATGGAAAGGTTCTTGCTACAGAGAACGCGGTTAAAGACAGATGGAGAGGTTATTTTCATAATCTTTTCAATGAAGGACATGAAATGAGTGCTTCTTTAGGGGAGTTGAGTACTCAGAAGAGTGTAGAAACTACTCTTTTTATCGTCGAATCCGGAAGGAAGAAGTGGTTGTAGCTTTGAAGAAGATGAAGCATAAAAAAAGCAATAGGCCCAGACGATATACCAATCGAAGTGTGGAAAGTTTTGGGAGAGACAGGTATAACATGGCTCACTGACCTTTTCAATAGGATTTTGAAAACGAAGAAGATGCCAAATGAGTGGCGAACGAGCACTTTGGTGCCTATCTACAAGAATAAGGGCGACGTACAAAATTGCATGAACTATAGGGGTATTAAGCTAATGAGTCATACAATGAAGCTCTGGGAGAGAGAGTCATTGAGCATAGATTGAGGCAAGAGACACGGGTTTCGGACAACCAATTCGGGTTCATGCCAGGGCGCTCAACCATGGAGGCAATCTATCTCTTACGAAGATTGATGGAAAGATATAGAGATGGGAAAAAGGATTTACACATGGTCTTTATAGATTTGGAAAAAGCGTATGATAGGGTCCCAAGAGACATTCTTTGGAGGATTTTAGAGAAGAAAGGAGTACGAGTAGCATATATCCAAGCTATAAAGGATATGTATGAAGGAGCAAAGACTGCCGTAAGAACTCATGAAGGACAAACCGAAAGCTTTCCCATAACTGTAGGATTACATCAAGGCTCATCCTTAAGTCCTTACCTTTTTGCGTTGGTAATGGATGAGTTAACAGGACATATTCAAGATGATATTCCTTGGTGTATGCTTTTCGCAGACGATATAGTGTTGATAGATGAAACTCAGGAAGGGGTAAATGCAAAGCTTAACCTTTGGGAGAGAAGTGTTGGAATCTAAAGGTCTTCGCCTAAGCCGATCAAAGACAGAATATATGGAGTGCAAGTTCAGTGCAAATGGAGGCCAAAACGAGTTAGGGGTGAGGATCGGAGATCAAGAAATACCAAAGAGCGACCGTTTTCGTTACCTAGGATCTATCTTGCAAAAGAACGGAGAATTAGATGGAGATCTCAACCATAGAATACAAGCTGGATGGATGAAGTGGAAGAGTGCATCCGGCGTGTTGTGTGACCGCCGTATGCCACTGAAGCTCAAGGGAAAAATTTTATAGGACGGCAATAAGGCCGGCGATGCTGTATGGCACAGAATGTTGGGCGGTGAAACATCAACACGTACACAAAATGGGTGTAGCGGAGATGAGGATGCTTCGTTGGATGTGTGGGCACACGAGAAAGGATAAGATTAGGAATGAGGATATCCGGGGTAAAGTAGGAGTAGCCGAAATTGAAGGAAAGATGAGAGAAAATCGGTTACGGTGGTTTGGACATGTGCAAAGAAGGCCTACTGACGCTCCGATTAGAAGATGCGACTATGGGACAGAGGTTCAGGGCCGAAGGGGTAGAGGAAGACCTAGGAAAACTTTGGAAGAGACTCTAAGAAAAGACTTAGAGTACTTGGATCTAACGAAGGACATGACACAGGACCGAGCACAATGGCGTTCTAAGATTCATATAGCCGATCCCACTCAGTGACTTGGATTTTCCAAGTCTCCAACCGAGAAGTTTTCCTCACTCGGGAAATTAAGGGAACACTACCCCCAACCTACATGCTCCACTCAGAAAGCTTCAACATACAAGCTTCAACAAAAGAAAATTCAAAGAACTTAGCGAAGAAGGCTTTGGTGTATTTAACACAATACGTTGAAATGAAGGAAAGCTTATTTATTGATATCCCCGATAAGCTACAAATATGTACATATACATGAGTCAAAATAAACACAAGAGGGAGCCTTCACAAAGGTTGCTTAGGAGAAGTCTCAGCAGTCGGTAGAGCCCCAGAAAGAGAAGGCACCGGAGGGGGATCATTTGGAGCCTCAGTACTGGACAGAACCCTAGAAGGAGGAGGCATCAGAGGTTGATCATTTGGAGCTTCATTACGCGGTACAGCCCCAGAAGACGAAGGCAATAAATGCCTTTGGAACAAACCCACAAAATCTCTGATGATCAAGTAAAACCTGACCATCAGTTTCCTTCATCTGGTCAAGCTTCCTCTTCATGTTTGTAGCATAGTCATGTGCGAGCCGGGTGCAACTGTTTATTCTCATGCTTGAGCCCTCTAATCTCCTGTTTGAGACTCATCACTTCAGCCGCCAATGATTCAACTTGGCGGGTTCGAGCAAATAGGCGTTGGGCCATATTAGACACAGAACCTGCACACTGAACACTGAGAGCCAGCGAATCCTTAACAGCTAACTCATCAGACCGTTTGGAAAGTAGTCTGTTATCTTTGGGAGTGAGAAGGTTCCTGGCCACCACCGCAGCGGTCATATCATTCTTCATCACGGAATCCCCAACGGTAAGAGGACCAGTAGGGGAGACGAAGGATGGGCGCCATATGTTGTCTGGAGAAGGCGGGGCTGCCTCTTCAACAAGGTTCAAGTCAAAACGACGGTCGGAGGGGCCAGACATTTTCAAAGGTGTTGAAGAGAGAAGAGGTCGGACAAATCAAGATCTTAGAAGTGCAAGAATGGAAGCTTCTACTGGTGGAGATTCAAGTGTGCTTTGGAACTTAATGCCAGCCCCTATAAAAATCTGCACTCGACGGAAGCTTCAGAAATCGAAGAGGCGCCTGCTCAGAAATCGAAGAGGCGTTTGCTTTTCTCAAAAGCTGGGCTGCTTAGAGATCACGAGGGTTGATCTCAGAAATCGAAGAGGCGTTTGCTTTTCTCAAAAGTTGGGCTGCTCAAAGACCACGAAGGCCGATCTCAGAAATCGAAGAGGCGCTCGCTTTCTCAAAAGCTGGGCTCCCCAGAGACCACGAGGGCCGATCTCAGAAATCGAAGAGGCACCTACTTTTCCAGCCTTTTCCAGCCTTGTCAGCACCTGTCACACGCACACTCAGCTTTGCGGAAATTATGGGCATTCTGTCGAAGACTTCTGGGGAAGTAGAAAACACATGAATCTTACTGTTCAATCACCCACTTCCCACACGCAACAATAGCTCATGGGTACCACAGATAACTTTGCCAAAGTTCTCTGCCAAAGTTGAGCACGTGAAGCTTGCAGCTCCCACTACATCGCTCTGACCAAGAAGGGTAAAAGAATAGCAAAGAAACAGCACTAACAAAGTTTAGACCCATAAATTTTGAAGGTCTAGCTACCATATTATTACCCACAAGGGTAAAGGAACAGTACCACTGCTGGATAATTGGAAAGTCCCTGTGTGTCAACCTCTGTGCTTCGTGGCAAGGTAGACTAGCAAACATGCCCAACCTTTACTCACATTCGAGAAAACACTCCCAATAAGATTGCTTGCTCCAAAATCGAAGAGGCACCGTCCTCCGAATCTCGAGAGCCAGACTCCCAACATGACTACTTTCTTAAAAATCGAAAGAGAGGGTAAAGGAACAGTACCATTGCTGGATAATTGGAAAGTCCCTGTGTGTCAACCTCTGTGCTTCGTGGCAAGGTAGACTAGCAAACATGCCCAACCTTTACTCACATTCGAGAAAACACTCCCAACAAGATTGCTTGCTCCAAAATCGAAGAGGCACCGCCCTCCGAATCTCGAGAGCCAGACTCCCAACATGATTACTTTCTCAAAAATCGAAGAGACACTGCTCCCCGAATCTCGAGAGCCAGACCCCCAGCATGATTGCTTTCTCAAAAATCGATGAGGCATCGTTCTCCGAATCAATCGAAGAGGCGCTCGCTTTCTCAAAAGCTGGGCTGCTCAGAGACCACGAGGGCCGATCTCAGAAATCGAAGAGGCACCTACTTTTCTAGCCTTGTCAGCACCTGTCACACGCACACTCAGCTTTGCAGAAATTATGGGCATTCTGTCGAAGACTTCTGGTGAAGTAGAAAGCACATGAATCTTACTGTTCAATCACCCACTTCCCACACGCAACAATAGCTCATGGGTACCACAGATAACTTTGCCAAAGTTCTCTGCCAAAGTTGAGCACGTGAAGCTTGCAGCTCCCACTACATCGCTCTGACCAAGAAAGGTAAAAGAATAGCAAAGAAACAGCACTAACAAAAGTTTAGACACATAAATTTTGAAGGTCTAGCTACCATATTATTACCCACAAGGGTAAAGGAACAGTACCACTGCTGGATAATTGGAAAGTCCCTGTGTGTCAACCTCTGTGCTTCGTGGCAAGGTAGACTAGCAAACATGCCCAACCTTTACTCACATTCGAGAAAACACTCCCAACAAGATTGCTTGCTCCAAAATCGAAGAGGCACCGTCCTCCGAATCTCGAGAGCCAGACTCCCAACATGACTACTTTCTCAAAATCGAAGAGAGGGTAAAGGAACAGTACCATTGCTGGATAATTGGAAAGTCCCTGTGTGTCAACCTTTGTGCTTCGTGGCAAGGTAGACTAGCAAACATGCCCAACCTTTACTCACATTCGAGACAACACTCCCAACAAGATTGCTTGCTCCAAAATCGAAGAGGCACCGCCCTCCGAATCTCGAGAGCCAGACTCCCAACATGATTACTTCCTCAAAAATCGAAGAGACACTGCTCTCCGAATCTCGAGAGCCAGACCCCCAGCATGATTGCTTTCTCAAAAATCGAAGAGGCATCGTTCTCCGAATCTCGAGAGCCAGATACCACAGACCACTTTTTCAAAGTGCTCTGACAGAGTTAAAACATGTGAAAACTGGCAGCTCCCACTACCGTGCTATGACCAAGCAGCAGGGTAAAGGAATAGCATTACTACTTGTTGTTAGGGAGACTCCTATATATGTCGACCTCCATCCCCAACGGACAGGCAGACCTGCAAAAATGCTCAACCCTTCATCATATCTGAGAGGGCACTCCCAACGAAGCCTTTCGAAATATTCAGCTTTCTTTCCCCCCGATAATAATACCTCTGCAAACAAGCTATACTAGAGCAAGAATATCTCATATCATCAGGGTTAAAAGCAAGAGTATCCCATATCATGCTTTTTCCCTGTCTTTTCCTTTTGGCCTTGTTTTTACCTGCAAGACAAGGAGAAAGAGAGCAATCAGTCAGCACTTGGAATCAAGCTTCCAGCCAGGAACTGACTGCCTGGAACCCCTTACCTGATTACTTACCTGGCATTGCTCTCGAGTACTCATCTTCAACATCTTATGTTTCCAGGGAAGATTCCGCATCTGCTTGAGGAACAGATAGGGCAAGTGCGAAGGATACAAGGAAGCATGTGGAGACAAGCGTAACAGCACACGTGCCGATACATCCATTACTCTGTCAAAAGCAAAAGTATCCCATATCAGCAGGGTGGAACGTACTCTAGATTTGATGGACTTGTTTTGACCCTCAAATTCTTCAGTCGGCCTTATACTCTGGAGGAAACCAGAAAACCCTCCAGCTCAGTTCAAGAATAAGCCTGTGGAAAGTTACTTCTTCAAAAGCAAAAGTATCTCATATCATCTCTTCTCATTTTTCTTCTCTTTATCCTTCATGCTGCTGCAAGATGGGGAGAAGGTGAACAATCAGTCGGAGCTCTGATTGCTTACCTTGTCTGTCACCTCTTTCAGCAGACCCCCTAGCTCGGCGACTTGGGGGACTCCTACTACATGGTTTGTATCGCGCTTGACCAAGCCTGAAACTACAAGTAAGCTTCAAGTGAAATTGATACATTACCTTGTGCATCTCCACCAGTTAAAGATACCACCCCTGGATGGAGGAAAGAGTACTTCCAGAGAAGATGCCACATCTACCTATGAGACAGATAAGGCAAGTCAAGACGACACCACACTCCGATACTTAGAAGTTTCGTGATTACGAGATCATTCTCCCACAATATTTCCTAATGTCATTTGTACTAAATCATTCACTTGTACTCACTAAAGGAGAGCTTGAACCTATGTACTTGTGTAAACCCTTCACAATTAATGAGAACTCTTCTATTCCGTGGACGTAGCCAATCTGGGTGAACCACGTACATCTTGTGTTTGCTTTCCTATCTCTATCCATTTATATACTTATCCACACTAATGACCGGAGCAATCTAGCGAAGATCACAAAAAAGCGATCGTTTTCGCTACCTAGGATCTATCTTGCAAGAGAACGGAGAATTAGATGGATGGAGATCTCAACCATAGAATACGAGCTGGATGGAAAGAGTGCATCCGGCGTGTTGTGTGACCGTCGTAGGCCACTGAAGCTCAAGGGAAAATTTTATAGGACGGCAATAAGGCCAGCGATGTTGTATGGCACAGAATGTTGGGTGGTGAAGCATCAACACGTACACAAAATGGGTGTAGCGGAGATGAGGGTGCTTCGTGGGATGTGTGGGCACACGAGAAAGGATAAGATTGGGAATGAGGATATCCGAGGTAAAGTAGGAGTAGCCGAAATTGTAGGAAATATGAGAGAAAATCGGCTCCGGTGATTTTGAACATGTGCAAAGAAGACCGACTGACGCTCCGGTTCGAAGATGTGACTACGGGACAGAGGTTCAGGGCCGAAGGGGTAGAGGAAGACCTAGGACAACTTTGGAAGAGACTCTAAGAAAAGACTTAGAGTACTTGGATCTAACGGAGGACATGACACAAAACCGAGCGCAATGGCGTTCTAGGATTCATATAGCCGACCCCACTTAGTGGGAAAAGGCTTTGTTGTTGTTGTTGTTGTTGTATATTATCGGTTATCTTACTTTAATATGTCCATGGTCACTGGAAATAGTTGTTACCTTCGAATTTTCCTCCGCCTGTTGTTGCAATATTTTCGACTCCTGAACAACTTTCTCCATCTCCGCTTCTTGTTCAGCAAGAGCTTTCCGGGCACATTCTTCCTTTTCTAGCTTGTCCTGCTCGGCCAGTCTCCTTGCCTCCGCTGCCGCATCTAGCCGTTCCTCAAGGGTTCCACGCATCTGCAATGACAAAACAAATAATGAACTAAGAAAAAGGATTGTCTTTGTATCAACTGCCCCACATCATTCGAAGACAAATATAATTGTTGCAAGTAGTCACAAATAAGATTTTCCAATATCTTTACTCTGTGAATACTTAACATCTTTTGTGATGATATTGTTTGATAAATAAATATAACGAAACAGATCATACAATTGTTGTTTTTGAAGAATACAATATGAAAAAGACAGCATAAAAATGAGGCAATCTAAAGATCAATGGAGAAATTAGTGAAATAGAGCATGCACCAACAGTAATGCAGTGCAATAAGCAACTCAATGAAGTGGAGTCAACCTCATTAAGAATCGCAAGTGATTTATCTCTCTCATCTGATAAGTTGAGCAATCGAGACTGAAGCTCCCTCGCTTCAGTTGCTAAAATTGCTTTCTCCCCAAAGACTTCTCCAGCATGCTACACAGAAAGAATATAACCTCAGTTATAATGCACCCTTAATTAAAATTAGCAGAACTCAGAATCCATTAACTTCAAACTTTAATCACATTTCACAAAATACAACCATGTCATTTGCGTCTTTTGCATGTGCCAACATCTGTTTAAGCTCCTCCACCTTGACCATGATATCCAAACCTCCCCTAGAAGCTTCCTCTTGAACAATATCCACCGCTTTCTCCTGGACCTCCACTTCTCTCATCATGCTGATGACCGATTCCATGGCTGAAAACAGGGTTTTCTGCAACATTGTCAAACGATTAGGAACTCTATCATCAGGGAGGAGGGAAAAAATGGTGCCACCAAAAACTAACTCCATGACAATGGTGGGTCAGCAAAATAACACAAACAAAACATTAAGAATATGCTTTCAAATATCATAACAAGATTTATTATCCCAAGATAATACATATTATTGGTAAAAAAAAAAACGAACTGAAGCACATAAACCAAAAGTCCAAATCCATGAACACGTTATCATTGGATCCTAACCCGAAATCAGATGGTACTTGTATCACACAGAGGAATTAAAAGACGCTTAAAAAAACCCCAACGAAATACAGAACATCATCACATAGAAAAGATTAAGATTATATAACTATTCTGACCAAATAGGGCCAGGTTTATTTAGAGTCTGAGAGAATTGAACAAACCAACAGTTAAGTTTTAAATTTATAGCAAGAGAATCAACTTCTGAATTGCAACCCTAAATCTACCAAGTCATAAACCCATTAGTACCTTGTTATGTTTAGAATCTTCAATGATCTCTTCCAGAACATCAATATTGCATACGCTGTTTGTGGCGGTCTCCTCAATGTCATTATCAACCATTTCCCTTGGAGAACAGTCTTTCTCAGAAGTATGATCCAAAGGACCAGATGCCTGTAAGTTGTCATCAGCAAGAAGAGGGCCTGAACTAAACTCTGGACGAATGTCACACTGTGGAGCATTGGGTGCATGTTCTGGGAAAGAAGAATCAACTGCCAATGATTCTACTTCATCATCAGCAAGAAGAGGGCCTGAACTAAACTCTGGAGGAATGTCACACTGTGGAGCATTGGGTGCATGCTCTGGAGGAATGTCACACTGTGGAGCATTGGGTGCATGTTCTGGGAAAGAAGAATCAACTGCAAATGATTCTACTTCATCATCAGCAAGAAGAGGGCCTGAACTAAACTCTGGAGGAATGTCACACTGTGGAGCATTGGGTGCATGTTCTGGGAAAGAAGAATCAACCGCAAATGATTCTACTTTATCACGTGTTTCATGGAGAACCGATTCGTAATCACAATTCACAGGGAAATAAAAACTTTTCCACTTAGGAAGCACATCAACCAAGGTGCCATTTACTGCATCTTTTTCAGGCATTGAAAGACTCGTCATGCCAGATGCAGACTGCTGCTGCCCAACTTGGACATCAAAATTCATACCCTTTACATCAGAAATCACTGCTTCACTTCCAGTACTTGTATCCGCATCTGATTGAACAGGACCATTCTGCAATGAGTCCACTTGCTTCACCAGCGTGGGGTTGCCATGAGAGGAACCACTTGTGTGATCATCACCAGCTGCCGGTCCAGGTTCTGGAACCCCTGATTCCTTAATTACCTGCTGGTGCATCAATAGTTTACCCTTCTCCTTCTGTTGAGCTGCAAGTTCAGCATGCAACATACAAATAAAAACCTTAGACGAAATACCAATTTAAAAGAAAAAATGGAACACTTTTGTGTTGCAAGTAATTATCAATAATTATGGAATGACATGAAAGAGGAAAAAGAATGTGGCATCAATAACAGAACAAATCCAGGAACGAAAGAAGGTTCTCTTGAGAAGCTACAGAATACCTGCTTGTACCGGTGGAGTCCCAGAACTCTGAACCTGCACAGGACTGACAGCCAAAAACGATTGTGTAGCCAAGTTAGGGAACTCACTAAGAACATCGAGGACAGCTGCATCGGCATCAAAGGGATGTTCAATAGCAATAGCCCTCAGAATGCGAAAATCAACCTGAGCCGAATTAGAAGAAATAATATGGATGGTCAGTTAGAGTCAAAAGTAAACATTTTAACCAAATAGACAACCCAAGCATCCTAGAACATACAGAATCAATTAAGTTACAGCCTTTACCTTAACGAAAAATCAAAGAAATCCATTTTTTCACCTATAATCTTAGGCAACACAATTTATGTATATTCCATAAAATCAAACTCTCAAAATCATTAGAATCTGCTGGAACAATATAAACTTAACAAAGATACAAAGGCGAAAAAAATCAGAATAGGTGTTCCCCAAACCCCAATTATTCAGATTAAATTCCATGAAATCATTTTCCAAATTGTTAAGCTTAATACCATGCAAGTTTGACAAGATTTATACATACGAAAATTTATAAAGCCAAAATATTTAAATGGAAAACATAATTACACAACATAACAATTTATAATTCAATCCCGAAATATATTTCGAGGTAAAGAATCATACCTGTGGAAAAACTTCCTTTAAGCAGCCAAAAACCGCATTGAAACCCATCTCCAAGAGCTACGATTCTGCATATTTAAAACATAATACAAAATTACAAACAAAATTCATCCACTTGAGAGCCCCAAAGCTGCATTTATATTTATCTTATAAAAATTCTACACGAAAATTAGGTCAAGATCCAAGATTATTTTTTTTCTTCAATTTCGAAACCCAATAATCTTCCGGATTAAACTTAAAAAATAAGAATTTTCATCGAAAACTCAAGAGAAATTCAGAGCCAATGATACCAAATTAATCATAATGCAAAAAACACACATGCGATGAAATTAAAAATCACAATCGCTCCGTTTGGCTGCCGAGAAAATAAGAAAAACTAAAACTAAAACTAAAAACGAAAGATGATTTTTTTCTTCATACAATTCAGAACCTAGGATTAAAAAGATCGAAATTTGCGAAAATTGAACACTTTCTCGGCGTTTCTCGTCCTTTTCTCGGCAGCCAAACAGAAAAAATAAGAAGAGGAAGATGAAAAGACTGACCGTTTAGGCAGGGGAGAAGAGAAAGTTAGAGTGGGAAAGGTGGAAGGTGGAGGAGAAAAAGGTTTTGTGGTTTTTTGTTTGCGTTCGACTCTCGGGAATTAATAACTCGGTTTAGGCTGGGATGGGCCGGACTCGGCCGAGTTGACTTGACCCATGCAGCTAAGGAAACGGGTACACTCGTTAATTGAGCTAGTGTGCGAGGGTGATTTCGTCAATTTGAGATTTTTTTTTAAAGAAATCTAATGAAAAAGCTTGAAAATCTTGAGTTTTAACAATAAATACAAAATAAATGATAAAATGAATAGTATCATGATTGATTTTTTAATTTAAAATAAACAGTATCGAGAGTTTTATGTTAAAGTTCTCTTTTTTGTTTTTTTTTTTTTTTACAGTTGGGCCGCTATCGTAGACAGGGGTAATCTTGGTACACGAGTTTTTACTCCTCGTCATGGGCCCGGGAACGGTTAGCTGACGTGGAACTTGGGAAGTTTCCCACTGCTTTTCCAGTTTACTCGCCAACTTGTTTGGCAACCTGGGATCTGGCCCCCAATTGGTGAGAAATCAACGTCTGAAAATGGAGGGAGAGAAAGAGAGTTACGTACACAGTTCACTATCGCGGCGTCTTAAATTAATGATATGATGTTATGTGTATATATTTACGTAAATGTAACCGCATTATTAGTTTAGATGTCATGGTGGTAGTTTGGAGGTGTGGGTAAGTTTTGAAAAATGACAAAGACTTGGGTCGTATATCCTAACTAACCAACAAGATAATGCCACATCAGAACCGCTTATGAGATTTCGGGGACCCAGTGCGGAATTTATAAAATGGCTCATTTTTAAGATTGTTTTTATTTTAAAAAAGTAAGACAATATATTGGAACTAGAAAATAATAACTTAAATCAAAACAACCTTTAGGACTCATTAATTGTAAATTTACAAATGTCATTAGGTAAGTAAAAAGAGTTATAAATATAGCCTTCACTAAATAATAAAAAACATTTCAATCTTAAGCAACTAAATAAAGAAAAAAAAAAAGCTTCAAAAACTCTAACTTTAAAGTTTCACTTGAATATATAATATTATTATATAATAAAATTGAAATAAAAATCTTTTTTTTTTAAGGTGTTGTTATTGGCACTCATATTATCTCATTGTGCACTCCAAATTTGTATATTTAGAAAGAAAAAAATTTACACTTACAAAAAGTACACTATAAGATTTCAAAGTGCTAATAAAAGTATATTTTTAATATATAACATTATTACATATAAATATAAGATACCAAATTTTTTTGGGGGCCCCTCAAATTTAAGGACCCTCAACGCCGCCTCTGTGCCACATCATCAGTTACTTTCCACTTGGACTTCACCGACAAGCATATTGACACAATTTCAACGAACAGTATTTGAAGTGAACAATATCGATAATATGAACAATATGTCAAAAGTCGATGCGGTTACAAATGTTGAGCAGTCCTACACGCTATGTGGTCGTATGCCCCGACCTGAAAAAAATGTCAGCTGACATAACAATGCACACGCGCGTTGTATCCAAGTTCAACTCCCTTTTTGTAGTACATAATATCTTAATTTTTTTCCCCTTCAATAAAATGCAAGAGCCTCCAAATAATCAAACGTAAAAGACAACTCTTGAGAGTTTGTGGGGAAAATGAACATAGAATATTTAGGGTTACGCTATCTACATGCTTATTTTTATCTCTCACACAGCCCTCTCAATTTCCGGCCGTCGTTATTCAATCTAAATCCTCATGATTTTTTGGAACCCAAATAGGTTTGATGTAGTAGTAGGACACATCTAGTTTTCTAGCCCTAGAAATGGACAGACTCCCAAAACTTGGACAGAATTACATGCACGCACTATAATCTACAAACCCTAGCTTCTGGATAAAACTGTAATATCCGCACGCGGCTGATCGCAACTTCGTACCCAATTTTTCCAACCGGAAGTCCGGAGCTACTTTGAAGTCTGTCATCTCCTACTGCCTAGAAGAGGCTCTCGTGGAGACCCTGAAAACCTCGTCGAATGCCCATCATCTTCGGCAGACTTCCTTGGGGTTTGCCCGTGCTTGCTTAGAGCTCCCTGAAGGATAACAAGTATATAATTAGACAAAACAACTTCTATCTTCAGAACAGACATACAAATGACACACAGCTTGTTATTCAATCCAAAATATGCATTCGGGAAAGAAGCACAAAAGTTTGATATTTCAGCTGCTTTTGGCTACTGGGTATACAGTTACTCTACGATTTCCTTCTTATATCACTCAGCTGTATATAGTTACTATACTCTTCAAAACTTTTGTGTGAATTACTCCTTCCGAGTCACAAACATATTTTAAAGCATGAGGAATGCACATCAAGAGAACAAGGACTTTTGAGGATACTTTCAGATAAATTCTGTTGACCTGCAGCGAGATACAAGTTTGAAAATCACAGATTTGGTGAAAGCTTCGGTTACTGGAAAACTTGTGCTTTTTCAGATATATTGGTTTATGACTTCATGTTCAAATGACTTAGCAAAAGACTGACAAGTAAATGATGTTAACTTACTGCAAGCAACTTCCGAGTTGATGGAGCTCTTGCCATGGATGAAGCAGCTGCTGCAGCAGCCACACGTATCCTATACAAATCACACATTCCAATTTAATCAAGGAACTTGACCATGAGAGAGAGAGAGAGAGAGAGAGAGAGAGAGAGCGATAGAGAGTTTAGATCCCATCATACCTCCTATGTACATCGATATATACATCTGTCTCATCTACAATTTCCTCCTGCGTTGAAAAGGGGATCAGGACAATCGTCATAAAACAGTGGGCACATGAAAAGAAATAGAATGGGAATACTTGTAGCGGAACACATAATATCACACTGACTGAGCCACTGACAGATTAAATTAAGGTAGGAGATTGGATAGAAGCAGAGCATACTTGCAGCAGTTCTTCAAAAACATCCTCCAGGGTGATGATTCCTATGACCTCCCCGGCTTCAATGTCCTCTGATGAATTTGGAATTGTAGCATTTGGCTGAACGGTTGGGTTGTTTATCAGAGACCTTGGAGCTTTATCTATGTCAAGAGAAACACTCCCTGATTTTTCATCTTGCTTGGTTGGCAAGGAGGCAGCTAGTTGAGATTTTAACTTTGCCAGTTTATCCTCGAAATTCTCTATGTCAGGAATTGCCAGAAGGTTGCTCTTTCCTTTGCTCTTCACTACAGCTGCCAGGTGACTGCTTCCTTTTTGAAACTCATTAAGTATATCATACAGCGGCATATCTGCAGGAACCCTGGGATATCCATGCATATGTATTTAAAGTTTTCCCACATACAACAGACGTCGATATATGCATAAAAGATAATATGGAGAAAGAAAATGACAAACCTAGGCATTCTTCGAATTGAAATGGCACTGACTGGAATCTCTGCTTCTGCTCGTACAGTGAGAAGACTTTTCACCTAAGTCCATTACAGAATAAATAAATAAATAAGTCTAAAAATTACTTGCGAGTCCTACAATCAGCTGTGACATACCAATTCTATAATTAGCTGTTATCAATGGTAGGAATCAACAGGCAAAAGTTTTCACACTCACCAGAAGAAGGCCGATAATGTTTTTTGGATTTTCATAATAGACAGGGACTCGACTATGACCTCGTGCAAGAATTTTCCCAATTGCTTCCCTGCATTAGGAGACAGACATCAGTTTAAAAATGAATCTTTCCCTCTACAACAGAAAACACAAAGAAGACCAAGACCCATCTCTATTACCACCAGATGATCCCCACAATTCCTTCTCAATACCTAGTTTCTACTCTATTCAGCCCAAAATAGCAGAAATACAAGAAGAAGAAAAAAGTACAATCAAGAGATGTCACTGCAATTTCAATGTCACAAAAAAATGCACCAAATAAAGAATATAAAGAATATGTAGAAGAGTCCGAAGGCAAACACACCAGTCTAAGTTTGAATTAACATCCAAGGAAAATGTTGATTCAATAGGTGTCATAGCTTCCTCTGCGGTCTGGACAACAAAAGAAACTTTAGTATTATGAATCCTTTGCAGATTGGAGAAAATGCAACACGCAGACGTGGTTTTTGGTGTTATCTCAATACTTAAAAGGCATGCAGAAGCCTGAAAATTGTAACTAAAAATAAAACACCCAGGAAGCATCAAAATAGTTTGGGAACAAGTATCAGAAATACAGCAAGAAGATAAAAAATGCACATAGAAGGCAAGAAAATTGGTAAATAATAGAGAACTGAGGAACATGTACAGGAAATAACACTATAAAAGATTGGACATGCCTTATACAGTCAAATTATCTCCCCTCAAATTGCTCTGTAACGTCTCATAAATTTTCCAACAAATCAAAGCTTAAATAAATCTGAAGACATTGGGTACCTTTTCAGTTAAATCCAGGGCTCCGCTGATGATCGTTGTCTCATCATGCGTGAGTTCACCTCCCTTACCAGCCTAAAATGGATAGAAATAACAAGTCAAGAAAAACAGAAAACAATTTGAATCCGGAAAACTGTAACTGTTGTGGAACTTCAGCAGCTAGTAGCCAGGAACAAACTGTGGACAAATGCAAGCGATGTCATACACACTTACAACCTAAACAGCTTACCTCTTGGCCATGAATAGAGACGAGGGCCTTCAACTGAGCCCGCCTAAACAAATCATCACTATGTCCAAGTACCTTATCAAGAACCTGAAACAATGGGTCACACATAAAAGCTATAATATCAATATCCGAATCTGAAACATATTGAACTTCCGTCCATACTATGTTTTACTAAAACAGGAAACATACTTTGTGATCCAAATATGAAAATTATAACGAGTATGGTATTAAAACATCATTGCCTAATAAGAACTCTTCTCAGTGTTGATGTGATATCTTAACTGTGTCTCATAACCACAAAAAGCAATTTAATTAAGCAGATGACTATCAAAGTTAATAACTTGAAAACAAAATGAAATTCGATCCAGTACAAACTATAATTACATACCTTTGCAATTGGGTATGCAATCGGATAACAGATGACCATAAGAATGCGAACAAGCCAAATGAAATTGGCACCAACTGAAAGTCCATATTTTGAGCATATAGATTGTGGAATAACCTAGTCCAACATGAAAAGGCACAAGTCTGTCACACTCCCATATAACACTAAACACTCTATCCATCTGCAGTCCAATAATTAATAACAACCCGGAAAGGCCCGTACCTCTCCGAATAACAGAACAAAAGTTACAGACAGCACAACAGCAACAACTGGGTTAAAGATTTTATCAAGGTATAAAGGAAGCGCCTGCACAAGCAAAATTCAATTGCGGTTAAATTAGTGGGACTTAACCTACTAATCATACAAATCTCGAAATTTAAATTTATCTAACAGAAATCAATGTTTTATTTATTACACAAATCTCGAAATTTAAACTTACGGAAATCAATGTTTTATTTATTACACAAATCTCGAAATTTAAACTTAACAGAAATCAATGTTTTATCTATTACACAAATTTCGAAATTTAAACTTAACGGAAATCAATGTTTATCTATTACACAAATCTCAAAATTTAATCTTAACGGAAATCAATGTTCGTTGGTAAACCCAAAACGCATAAATTATCATTAAAGTAAACTATTAAAAGTACCTCCATGGCACAAGCATTGCAGAGAAGCAGAGTGACCAAAAGCTGGTGCTGCTTTTGCACAACGGGCAGTATCTTAGCTGCGTACAATGACGGATCAACATCAAACCACCAAAACTAATCACATAATTAAGCTTAATTAAGTATAATTAAACACCAATTCGTTAATCCAATCTAAATTTTCCAAAAAACCGACCGGCTTGCTTCTTCTCGGTGGAGCTACCGCTGCGCTGGAGGATTTCGAGGTCGACGAGGTTGAGCGACATCAATCCCAAGGTGAGGCCAGACATGATCCCGGCGAATAGGACGAGCAGGCACGAGACGCCGGCGTAGAGATACCACGACCCCGTCCCGAACGGGATGTCGTCCAACGTGGTCACCAGGTCCCTGGCGCCGTTCCACGACATCATTTTCGCCGTCGTATTCGGCGGCTAGATTAGGATGCTAGGGCGATCGGCGGAAGCGGCATCGGGAGGGAGTCAGAGAGTCCGAATCGAATCGGACTATCGGTCTTTGACTTGCTGCTACAAGCGCGACTGGTCCTCATAAAATAACGATATTATCCGATATTTTTATCGAAATTTTCGTATCGTTACACTATATTTTCGATATCATTAATATTTTAGATTGTGATAGGAATTTTATGCGATGCTAAGTTACTCATCTTATCATGCAATATATAAAGTGTAAAATATTATACTAATTCATTATATATAAATGATGATTGTGCGTTTAAACTTCTTTAATTAATTACTACATATTTTCTACATTCACAATATTTGACAGCTCGCTATATAATCAATTTAAATCAGTTAAATTAGTTAAATCCATCATACAATGCATTTCCTTCCAATTTTTTGTGATAAACTAATAGATAATTGACTAAATAAATATCCTGCAAAGTTTCAATAAAAATTTCTATATTTTTCTTACAATTTCCGTGATTTTTATTCAATTTTTATCGATATCGATAATATCCGATATTTTCATCAAAATTTTCATATTTTTGAACTAACGAAATTTTGGATATCATCGAAATTTTATAAGTAAGCACAGCGTGGCTCCTATTTATACCCCTGCTAAGTTTGCATTATTACATTTTTGACACGCGGACAAAAATGACCCGCACTCTTCTCTTTCCTTGTGATTTGTCCCCCTCTCTCTCTCACTGTGTCGAGTGACTGAGTCAGCTGGGTGTCCGATTGCAGCTATGCTTTCCAAAACGCGGTCAATCTCTTCCTATCTGCACACCCGCAAACCCACTCTCACACCCAGCACCCACCCAGCAACCCACCTCCAATCCCAATCAATCTCGAGCCTCAAAGTCGTATGGCGCAAGGACCAGAAGCTGGACCAGGCAATCGAAAACGACAAGCCCTACAAGCTCTGCGCCCGCGTCGTCAAGGAGGTCCACAACGAACCGGGTCGGGTCATCCCGCTCCGGTACCTCGAAAATCGGCGAGAGAGGCTGCGGCTCAACATCAAAGTCAAGACCTTTCTTAGGAGAAACCCAGGTTTGTTTGATGTTTACTATGATAGGATTAAACCCAAATCGGAACCGGTTCAGTTTCTTCGATTTAGCGATAGGTTAAGGATGTTTCTCGAGGAGGAGGAGAGGATTTTTAAGGAAAATGAGCCGTTGATTGTGTCTAAATTGTGTAAATTGCTGATGATGTGTAGGGATAGGGTTGTTAGTGTTGATAAATTGGTTCATGTGAAGAGGGAATTCGGGTTTCCGAACGATTTCTTGGTTAGCTTGGTGCCCAAGTATCCGCAGTATTTTCGGATACTTGGGTGCCCCGGAGAGGAGAATTGTTATCTGGAATTGGTTTCGTGGAACCCCGAGTTTGCGAAATCAGTGATTGAGAGGAGGGCAGAAGAGGAGTCGAATTTGACAGGGATTCGGGTTCGGCCTAATTTTAACTATAGGCTGCCATCAGGATTTTTCTTGAAGAAGGAAATGAGGGAGTGGGTTAGGGATTGGGTGGAAATGGATTACATTTCTCCGTATGAGGATGTATCGAAATTGGATCAAGCTTCGCAGGAAATGGAGAAGAGGACGGTTGGAGTTTTTCATGAGTTGTTGTCGTTGTCTTTATTTAAGAGGATTCCTGTGCCGATATTGGGGAAATTTAGTGACGAGTATAGATTTTCGAATGCATTCTCGAATGCCTTCACAAGGCACGCGGGGATATTCTATCTGTCGTTGAAGGGAGGGATTAAGACGGCGGTGCTGAGGGAAGCGTACAAGGATGATCAGTTGATTGACCGGGATCCATTGCTAGAGATAAAGGACAAGTTTGCAGAGCTATTGGAGGAGGGATGGAGGGGGAGACGAGAGCAGTTGCGGTTGCAAAGGGAAGAGGTTGAGAAGGACAAGGAGATGATGACAGGTAATGATTCTTAATCAATAACATGTATTGATGTTGAGCTGCAAATAGTGTTGAAAGTATCGGATGATCTTGGTTGTGTGGGATTATTGAATTTGTAATCCACCACATTCATCTCAAATTTTGTAGTGATTCTTGGTGTACCTGAATATCTTTAATGGAGGATGTAACTAGTTTTTTTGGTTCCATATTGTATTCGTGTTTCTTTTTATTGGACTTTACAACAATTCGTGAAATTGAAATTATATATGGAATCCTAAGACCATTGTGATGCTTGTTGGTGATTTGTGTAATTGATAAATTATAAAACGGTGATAGTTAACGGTGAAAATATTCATCTTTTTAGCATCCCCATTTTTTAAGTTTGCCTATGTCACTGTCACTATGACAATTTGTGATGCTTGCTCGTAAAGTGCATGATTGATATAACATAAAAACAATGGTGATAATTATGTGACCTTCATGGACAGTTGGACTCATGCTCAATGTGTTTCTCACATTCAGCTCCGTCCCAACACTTATCATATTCGCACTATGACACAATTTTAGCAAATAGTGATCTTATTATTGTGCAGTCAAAGTGCAACTATAGTATCGGTGTATTAATGCTGGTGATTGATTTCTTAGACAATGAACACATTCTGACAAGTAACTTTTAAAGGGAATATCCACTGAAAATGGTTATGATGAATTTGCTTCTGTTCAGAGCATTAGTTAGTTTATACCCCCTTTCAAATGAATGCTACTCCGTTTACCAATCGTAGTTGAATTGATGTACTTTTGAGCTTTCCTATGCTGCATTGCTTTTGGATGGCCTTCCGTAATGAACTGGAGGGTCGATTTGAGCTTTTAGCTGTAACCGTTTCATTTCTTTGAAATGATTCTGCAAACTGGGGGATGATGGCCTTGTATCGGATTCTTACATATTTCACAATCTCTATGTTGTGATCGAACAGCCTCTCCATAAATGGGGGTAAGGCTAGCCGACATTCACCTCTCCCAGACCCTGCGTTAAGCGGGAGCCTTGTGCACTGGGTACGACCTTTTTTTTATGTTGTGATCGAACAGGATGGTAGTGTTTATATTACTGATGTCTGCTAAATTTACAGGGCAATGACACGTCAGATTGTCTTGGCAGTGGTAGAAAGGTCGGAGCAATGACACGTCAGATTGAATTACAACGAAAAGATATATGTTTAACAATTTTCGAATAATGTAATTTCTGTTCTTGCAGTTTGGTAGGAGCAAGGTCGGTTGTGGAAACACCATTTGGGAGAGTTTGCACTTCACCTAACACAAACAGAGTCTTCACACCAAATGAATGGGAATCAGTAAACCATTCAGAACCTGAAGCTCATTCCCTTGGTAATCTCCATTACTTTTTTAATTAGTATAATTGTTATAATTATTACCCACAAAGAGAGCCTAACAACTAAGAAAACAAGAACCTTATGAAACCACAACAGTGTATAAATAGACGGATTAGCCGAAAACACCTAAAAACCATCCATATTTCTTCTCTTTCACATCACATGTGATAGCAGAAGAAGAAGATAGCTGAAATGGTCATGGAGAGAGTCAAGATTCTTACTTTAACCTTGTTTGCAGCTTCCCTACTCTACCTGCCGAAGATGGAGGCGCAGCCTCTATTCCCACCTGTCCGCCCTCTCTGTAGATCACAGTTTGCCCTTGCTAACTATGCTTGCTCGATACTCCCCTTTACTCCGATGCCCCTGCCAACACCCCCCTCTCCTCCTCCCCCTTCTCCTCCCAATGATGATGGACAGGAAGAGCAACATGGCCATGGACACGGACATGATCACGGGCATAGACATGTCCATCATAGGCACAGGCATCATGTGCATGATTCCATACCTGCAGAAGATAATTGTTGTAGGTGGTTAACCCAGCTGGATAATCAATGTGTGTGTGAGCTGCTGGCTCACCTGCCTAACTTCCTCGTTAGGCCTGCTCATGTGTACTCTGTGGTTATCGGAGAAACTTGCACCGTTACCTACACGTGCGGAACCCCGGTCAGGATAAAGATATGAAGAATAAAGCGTAATTACTTAACAGCGTACGAAAATTTTTATTTACACTCCTTGTTTATATTTGGTGTTACATGAGGTTGGGTGTTGTTTATTTAACTGCTCATTATGTTTTCATTCCAATTCATAAAACTTGCGATTGAATTAGACTTTACTAAAGTTGTATCACATTTGATGAATATATATTTTCCACTATTAAAACTCGACGGCCAATCCAAACCAATCCAATTATATGAAATGGATTGGATTGGTTTGGATTGAAAATCCACAATCCGATCTATCTTGGATCGGTCAGATGTGGATTGGCTAGATTTTTTGAACCGACGAGCACCCCTAATTGATTTAGTTTTCATGTCGGATGTGATGCAACAATTTTACCGTTGAGAATATGAATCTCACGTTGGAGAAGTAAAGCTTTACATTTAGATGCGGGTTGGCTACGTTTTTGTGAGCAGACGAGCACCCCTAGCTGTTTAACCACAACAAGTGACTGAGCGGAAAAGTGCGGACACGCTCCCTAAAGGAAAAAAACGGGAGGTATAGGATTTCAATGCATTGTAAGTTGTGAATCTACTTGATTGTGATCACGAGTAGAGTGCAATTTTCAACTAGTCTTCTTCAGGTCCTCTTCTTTTTTTATTTTTTTACTTTAAAAAAATAAAAATAAAAATAAACATCCGCTTTAGTTTTTGTACGGGAAGTGATGCAACGGTTTTCATGTTGTGAAATGAATCCCACATCAGAAAAGTAAAGCTTCTCACGTACAAGCTGATGCGATCTCGAGTCTTTTCATACTATCAAACAATTTTTCGTTTACTCTAATGACCTGATCTAATTAACATGATATTAGATCCACCTTATTCACCACACGTTTATACGTTGCATAAGATATGAATATGATTCTTTGTTACTTTATTTTTATTTTTGTTGCAAGAGAGATTCATTTATCTCAAGATAAAGTAACATGGTCATGAATCCAAGAGTTCTTAAATCAAACAAGAAATGAGGTATAAATTTTATTTTTATATTTTTAAAGGATCAATTAGTGGCAAAGCCACGTTAGTTGACCCTTGTGGAGGCCGGAAAAACTCACAGACACATTTCACCTTCTCATGAATACCATTGTGTGGTTCACCAGCGTTAGGAATCGAATCCAGAAACCAGCTATGCGAAATACAGGTTTAAAATTTACCCCAACCACTGGGATTCTCTTGTTCTGACGTATAAATTAGGGTTATCTTCTTGCTCATACAGTTGTAGAATCTAAGATAATATATGATGTATCTTAGGCTCTATGAATGAAAAGTTTCCAAGTGTCTGCAAATGCGACAAGAACAGAAAATGGAGATTGTATATATGCTGATAACACCCCCAATAATAAAATGTTCCAATCTAAAGGATGGTGACTTTTTTTTTAATTTTTAATTTGGCCGTAAAGTCTATCCCACTCCAACATTGCTATCATGGGAAGAGACTTTGAGGAGAATTTATTGATAAACAAGAAAAATCCAGTATGTCAGGGGAGACATAAGGCCAAACCCAGACCATTAAAGAATTCATAACAACAATTCAAAACCTCTTTCAGCAAAAGATACAACATGAATAACAGCTCGTAGTTCGGCATCCAAAGAAGATGCCAAGCCTATTGAACCCGCAAAACAACCAAGAGAATTACTCGTAAAATCCCGAAAGATACCACCAAATGCAGCCACACTAGGGGAACCTCTTGCAGCACCATCAGTATTCACTTTGATCCAAGACTGAGAAGGCGGGTGCCACAACACCTCAATAATTTTTGGAGCCTTAGCAAGACATCCACGAACACCAATAGAATGAAGAATGCAAATCTCTTCCACAGAATTCTTCATACAGCCGGAATTGAGAGAATCAATTTCAAGGAGTTGACATTTAATGGACCTTACAACATAATTAATGGAAACAACCTCCTCATGAAAATGAACAGCGTTGCGAGCATGCCAAATAGAATAAAAACCAACTCCAATCATACCCCACCAAAGCAGTTGCACTTGGGTACCAAAACCTTGTTGTAAAGGATAATGGAAAAACTAAAAATATCTTGAAATAAATATTGAACTCTGAATAATTCCAAAACAGTAGACCAAATTTTACGTGCAAAAGAGCACTCAAAGAAAATATGTGAAGCAGTCTCCCTACCTTCATAACAAAGAGAGCACATAGATGTTATAGCAAAGCCTCTTTGCTACAAGAGATCATCAGTTAACATCTTACCATGTAAATACTTCCACAATGTAACCAAATTACGAGGGCGAAAGCAAGATTGCCAAACCCATCGATCCCATTGAACCACTGGTTGTTTATTACGCTTAAAATCATAAGCCAAAGAGAAGGAAAGGTCACCATTTGAAGCAGACAACCAAACTATTTTGTCATCAATCCCATACTTTGAAGGAAGCCCAATAGAAGAAATATCATCCCAAATGGGCGCTAGCCATGAATGTAAAGTAGGTGGGGGAATCCACAACCATCCACAATAAAATCAGAAAAGGGCGTAAACCAGGCCAAATAAAGGAACTCTTGTATGTAGAACACGGTTGTCCAAGACAATTAAAAACCCGACCTTGAAAGAAACGTGAAGCCATAGATGAGGTAACCAAAATATCCCAAAACTTTTTCAACAAAAAGGCCTTATTTAAAGCTGAAAAATGACTTAGTTGAAGAGAGTTTATTCGAAATTTAACTTTATTTTCCAGAAAGAATAATTGACTATATATACAAACTGGTTGTACTGGTGGGTATCAATCAACTCGTTCTTGTTGAATATAAGTTCCACGTGGAAAACTGAGAAAATAAAATACAATATATATGTGTATAGTTTCACTCCGAATACACATAGATCTTTTATGATAAAACTCAACACCTAATAATAGGTGGTTAAATTTTGATATTATCGGTGTGATTAGGATATAAGAATATGAGCATGAGTATGAACCTGTAAACTTGGTTATAGGATTAGAGATTTAGTAGGAAGCCTTGTTGAGAATGGATTTGTGAATCCATATTATGCTGAAGTACTATTTAGAAGGAATTAGTTTTCTATAAGGATCTTAATAGGGAAATCCTTGTAGAATTTGGCTTGGATTATATAGTATATATATGGTGGCCTCTGCTCTCACAGTGTGTACTCAATTTAAGACTAAGACCTATTATTAGTTGAGAGTCTCGTTCACTGAAGAGAGGAGAAGGTGCGCCACGACTTTGCTGCAAAAATCAGATACGGCAACATCTTAGAGTTCTTTTGCAGGTATGTTTTCTCTCTGTGCATTGCTTTATGGTTTATGGTCATATGTTTTGACCACGGTAACTTGCTTTGCATGATCTTGGTGTTGTGTTTATGCTAACATGTGGTATCATAGCTTTAGGTTCATAAATTATAAGTTCTGTGATTAAAACCAGTAGGTTCCAAAAACATAAATAATGTTTGAGAAAAATATATTTTCATTGCCACTTTGGGGAATCGAACACAGGTTCTAGTATAAATGTTTTACGAATAAAGACAAAACATGATTAAAAAAATATAACCGTTGGGATTTAAAGGGATGTTACCCTTGGATTTTTTGCAAATCCATGGGAACGGGTTTTCTTTCCAATTGGGGCTTTTCGATTATGAACATCATTCAACAAAACATGCTTCTAGGTTATAATTTCATCAATATTGCAACTGATATGATCGATTTGAATGGTTATTCTGCTACACTGTTTCATAAAATTGGATATGTGTAAGGTATGTTTTTATTCTTGCCTGCTTAACAGTTCTTCTGCATATTGAGTCGAGGGTTTATGTTAGATCTTAAAGGATAAGACTTTGAAATAACAAAATCTATATGGATTCAATTTAATTGAAACTGTTCAGCAGAAATTTTAGACCTTGGGTGTTCGATCATGTATTATCTACAATTATTTTGAAATCTACAGAATTCTAATGCACCTTTATGTTTTCTGTTAAACCATGAATGATGGTTATCATGCATGAGACATCTCTTGACTGTCTGTTGTTGCATATCTTGTCATAAATTTGCTTAAGTTTTGATAAGTCAATTTTTCTATGTATGCTTATCAACTATATGTTGTTAAGTCTACATGTATGATTTATTTATGAGAGTTGTGATGTGCTAAACTGCAAAAGGAAATCAGGAACCTAACTGGTTCATGTTTGTGATTTCTTCTGCAGCATCCGCCATGTCTCTCGAGACTTTGAACTTAGCTAATATACCAATTCTCACTGGAGGGAGTAACTACAAAAAATGGAGGAGATAGATATGATTACTGTTGACAATCAATGAGTATGATATAGCCTTTGATACTCTAAGACCAGTGATCACAGAACAAAGCACTAGAGTAGAAAAGGGAGATTATGAGAAGTGGACAAGAGCAAACAAATTTGCACTTTCAATTCTTGAAAGTGGGATGACTGATACAGTTCGAGGAGGGATCAGAAAACATGAATTAGCTACAGAGTATTTAAAGGCAATCAAGAAAAAGTTCAAGGAGTCACAAAAAGCAAAGATCAGTCAATATATGTCACTTTTGACAACTTACAAGATTGACAACACTGGTTCAATTTGGGATCGTATTATGAAGATGACTGATGCTGCAGAAAAGTTAAACTCCATGGATGTCAACATTGGTGAGAAACAGCTAGTCTTCATGATCCTCCAAGCCCTGCCAAACAAGTTTTCTCAACTGAAGGTGTTCTATAACACACAAGTCAAGAGTTGGGATGTAGATGAGCTTATTGGACAGTGTGTTCAAGAAGAAACTCGACATAGACAAGAGAGGGGCAAAGACATCGAAACTGTGAACTTTGTGCAATGAGGGAAAGGAAGGAAGTTTAACAATGTTGGAAATAATCCAGGTAAGAACTTTAAATACCCTAAACCTCATGATAAGACTACTGTTTCTGCTAAGATATTTGAAACTTCTAAAGGATCTAACAATCTTAAACCAAAGGTTAAAAATGTTGCTAAACTTAAGTGTTTTTCTGCAAAACTCGAGGTCATTTAAGAAATCAATCTGAACTTTTTACGGATTATTTGAGAGCCAATGGAAAAGATATAGCTAATGTCTATGTAGAGTCAAACTTGTTTGAAGTTTCTACTTATTCATGGTGGTTTGACATTGGTTGCACAGTGCAGATAACCAATTCACTACATGGTTTTGAAAAACAAAAGGATTCCAGCTTTAACTGTTATAATGTTTTTGTGAGGGAAGGATCAAAAGTGGCAGTTAAGGCTGTTGGGACAGTCAAGTTAAAATTGTCTTCTGGTTTTGTTTTACAATT